CCACGAATTCCACAAACGACTATGGGGAGCAGATTAGGAGAAGAAGTTGAGAATCCAAACTGAAAACGCAGCAGAGAAACTACGCAACAGTACTTGTTTTTAGCATTAATCGTTTGTCCGCTCACTCACTGGAACTTATTTGATTGGTTGGGAAGAACACAAGGTAGATTTGTCGATAAATTAATAAAAAATGGGATGCTCCAGCAAAGGGGATGTTGTCGAGCTTCTTACATAAAAGTAACTTTCCACGTAGAAGATTTTTTTGAAAGTTTTGTATGCATGACCGCCTCGAAGACAAATGTGCATTTGCCCTCTTTCTGTGAACACTATGCATCTAGTTTATGCAATTACATTTCACCAAGTTAAAGCCCAATGAGACATTTTTGAAAATTCAAAATTTTCATTAAATCACCCACTTACACATCGCTACCGCGTTTAAAGGACGTCACTATATGGACTGTGGTAAGTGACTTTCTACCCATTTAAACTAATTTATATTTCCACATCTTACCAACTGCAGTTAGCTGCCTGCTTCAGCATTTCCAAGCTTATGTTACTTTTCACAATTTATACTTATTTGGCGATTAATTATTTGGCCTAGAATTTTCATCATTTTATTCCTTCTGCCAAAAAGAGTATATTTTACTGCTTTTGGTAAAGCGATCAATAAAATCTTCAGTGAATTCGTGAACGTGGAAACAAATATTTTTAGAGACACAATTTTCCTTACTTTCTGACGGAACCTAAACAAATGCTATTTCGTTAAACCAATGAATTGTATAAATAGAACAGTGTAATACTTTATTGAATACAGATCTCAATACCTTATGAAACCATTAGTCTAGTTAAAAAAGTCAAATAACGTTTTTAGGCATACACCTATGGGCAAAATATTTATTGTGCGTCCCTCCTGTCGGTGTTACCGTCCCATTGACTACATCAAATAAATGATTCTACTGACTACTTTCTAAGTAAGCATTTGACTTTACCATGAAACTACCGTTCCCCAAACGGTCATTTAAACGCTCGTTTCAGTACGTTGTGATGGTGAAACTAATTACATGTACACCCCGTATATGGTAAAAAAGACTTAACGACAACCTAGTTTGTGTGAATACAGACTTCGCACAAAAGCTAACTTAACGATGGTGTGCAATTTTACCCCACTTCTTTTGTCACCAAAAAACAAGTTTGTAATTGTGCCCATGGCCCATCCAATTAAGCCAGCATTACTTTAATAATAAAAGAATATATTAAACAATAGAATTCAGCTGTTTTAGGGTTACTTTCACACAATTGTGTCCTAAAATGAACGCCAGACCAAAATTTATATTTTTACCTGAACTGACAAACTTAATTTCCATGAGGAAGTTTTCGTGAATCGAAATTCTATCTGACTGATTAGAATTGTTGTAAGTTACTGTAATACCATGTCTTTACATGTAGTCTAAGAAATTTGCATCGGTGCACAAGAAACGGATATCTTCCTTGGTTAAATGCTGCGGCATGCAGTCCTACGAGCTGAAAAAAAATAGAGCTAAGGTTGAGACGGTCAGTGGTGGCAGGCCATGTCTGCAGCGTTTTGCGTAAATTTGAAACACACCTGGACCAACCAGTCACGGAAAAGCACAGCCAAACAGGGGCGTACAACCTGCTCACATCAGGGGGACCACGTGGCTAATTAGGTAGCATAATTAAAAACAGATCATGGAAATTGTTGGTAAGGTTTGGATGTCGTAGATACGCGCATGTCAGGAGGATAATTGCGGTTTATAGTCTATTTGTGAAGCGACTTTTAAGGGAAAGATCACTGCAGGTGTTTCATTGTTATTTTAGTAAACTTTTCAATCAATTACACCAATATGCTAACTCAACTATTTCCTGGCAAAAAAATAAAACAATGGCACAGTAAGATTTTAAGTAACAAAGTGGATTGAAACTATTATAATCTGTTAGGGATGGCTAACATTTTGAAGTGAATATTAATTTTTGATAAAGTCTTCTTTAAAAAGGCAGAAACACAGGGAAGATTTTTACACAACCATGCGTTAAAGACTTAAAAGGTTAGACTTTATTTGCAACAAAAGTGCAAAATCGTTTTATTGAAATTTTATTCAGTTTCTGCTTTTTAAAATGGAGGTCTTGAAACACCGCAAGTTTCAGCCCATTTTTCAGAAGGTGTAATTAAATGGAAAGAAAGGCTTGTAACGCTGCAGTGAAGTGGCATTAATCTGGCTACCTTCAATGTCATTGGTTAGATTTGGATAAAGGCTTCGGAACGATATTTAAAATCAAGAGTGAGAGGGAGAGATAAGCAGCAGCAGCAGCAACACAAAATGCATATCTACTGCTTGGAAACTGACGACAGCAATTGATGCAACAGTTAAATTTGATCCATTAATGTGGATGTTTAATTTTAAATTGTATCCATAAAAGATTTATTATTGGTTAGAAAAAAAATCAGATGAAATCGAGACGTCCAAAGAATGTGGCAATGAAAATGTAACACATTGGAGTAAGTGGATGGATAAAAATTGATAGAGGCTGACTGGAGCAACAGCGAGGTCAGGTTCTAGTGCACCTCAGGAATCAGCGCTTGATATTCTGACTTTGTGATCGCATCAGAGGAATTAAACTAAGATTACCACTGCTCAAGAGGTGATGCCGGTAAACGTTGTACGAAACAGCATCCCACGTGAGGAAATGCTTGTCCAAAGCAAAACAGCAATCAATATTTTGTCAAAAGATTCAACTACACCAGGGAACTCCGAATCCGGACACGTAGCAATTGAAAGTTGTGTTATGGAATGTGGTAGATATTGAGGGAATCACCACGGCTGTCATAAACAACCACAGGAAGTAGGTTAGGCGAAAGAGTTGAGACTCCGCAAGGGAAATGCTTCAGGAGAGCCTGTTTTCACCACGAACCGGTTGTTCACTCACACACTAAAATCTATTTGTTTGGTTTTAACATATGTGGGGTGGAGGAGAATGCAGTTAAATCTCTAAAGACGATTAAATTGATTTTTGGAGCTCTAGACAGCCGAACTGATGTGTCAATGAAGAGACGAGACTTTAAATTAATCACTTCTAATGCGTAAATTCATCTGTGACAGGTTGAAAACCCGAAGGCTGCTGTCCATCAACAGCTTGGGAAACTTGCCCTCTGCTGGCATGATAACTCTAAAGAGGGACTCTGGTACGAAGAAAATGAGACCTAATCTGGAGTGAACTTGGTTTGTGCTTTTTGTGCTCAGGTCTTGGAGGACTACAAACGCGGCCACAAAATGTGACAGAATTTTAGTTATCGGTGATAGAGTGATCCAAAGTGAATAGAGTGATTCTGTAGTGGACTGACAGCCGCCCCGCGCGAGTGTGCGTGCATGAGAGCCCGTGTGTAGCGATGACTCATCCCCTTTTGTTATTGATTTTTGGCAGCTTTCGTCTGTTACGCACGCCTACTCATACGCACACAAAGCCACTTGGTTGTTTTGACATCAATAAACCAGTCGTGTCCGCTCTCGCCACTTCTCCACTCTACTCGAGTTGTCTTGGGCTGTTAATTAGAGGGTTGTAAGGTAGTGCTAAGATCGAGCTACTACAACTCAAAGTGAATTACACCTACTATCACCTTTCACTCGTCCCTCTAGTTGTCTGCATGTTTGTACAGGTCTTCTGTCTCAGTGAGATTTTGCAACCGGCGTTTGTGTCTAAACGCCCTCGATTGGCGTTAACCCTCAATGTTTACAAGCCATGGCGTCTTGTTTAATGTCCCCATCCGCCAGTTCGCTTAAACAACACTTACTGCATCAAGATACAACCTCTGGAAGAAGAGTCGCTTTATCCGAGGCGGCATACAAGGCAACTTGAAAATATTACCTAAAAATTCATTATTAGTTGCTAGTGATAACCTCCAAAACGATATTAGTGTTATGAGCTCTGTTGAGTCGTGGAAGAGAATGGCTAATACTATTAAATGACTTTTGGTGTGCTCGACTTTTCAACTACATTTTTAAAAGAATAGTTTCGAACGTTAACTAGTTTGTTGACAAAGTGGTTGCACGCGCATCCACTCAATTTCAGCCCTAAATTCAGAATGGGTTAGTTTTTTTTTCTAAATATTTTTGATGCTTATGACGATGTCTTCCTTATCTCCTCAACAACAACGGCTACACTATTGTCCTCTTGGCAAATCTAGCATCTGCATACAACCAATTCTTTAGAACCCATCCATGTACCCCCCCTAAACCAACTTTGCTATAGTACTAAAGAAACATTTCTAATGAATCAATAATGAATTCCTTAGAATGAATAAATTAGTACAGAGTTGTGTTAAGCTTTACAATTGTTAACTCTATTAAGATGACCCAAGCGAAAAAACTTCGTTTCTTTTATTGAAGTGTCTGGTCTAAAACATTGTTAGGTGATTACTGACAAAAGCGAAATGAAAGCGTACCAATTTAAATGTTGAACAGTGTACTAGATTGAATCTTGGCCAACCCTGTTTTAATTCAACCCCTGGGCCAAACCTTGGGCAACGTAATTCGTGTTAAGGATAAGTACTCATAGCAAGACTCCATCAACGCATGCCCTGACTGCCTGCACGCATTTAATGCAGCCGAATTTATTGAACCTGGCATTACAGGGAACTGATGACATCTACTTTGCAGTAATGCTTATAAAAACTTCTGAATTCCCTTTATTGGATTTCCTGTCGCACCTCGAGGTTTTTTTCTATGAGTTATACTTAATAAACTTTGATCCCGATAAATCACGTGAAGTGGATTGTGAAAAAATCTTGATGAGAAGTTCATGGACTGTAATGGATTAAGTTGCACTGCCTACAAAAACTTAAAGAAAAAGGATTTAACATTTCAGTTAACTCCTGGGAAGGTGATCTGTTGCAAAAGGTATGCACGTTGACACTGTGGGAAAACTGGGCTACAGCAATGTGAAGGACGCTGATGGCAACGCACATACCGATACTCACACGTGGCACTTCAGTGCTTTACCAGCACAAGGTAGTAGAGCCAATAGCAGATATTATAAGCGAGATAGCACAACGGAAAGAGGAACCGGCTGTATCCATCGATAACGGAATCCGTGACACCGGTCAGAGTTTTGATTCTTGCTGTGGACTTGCTGATGCCACCCTTGCCAGACCTCGCATCACGCTTTTTGTGATATTGCTCAATGGCGTCGCGAAACGTGATCATGGCTTCCATCTGGGTGTAGTAGTCGGCCTGGTACTTGGGCACCACTGCTCCCGCTGCCCTCATGCTCTCTAGCTCCTTCTGCTGGCAGGCAGAGCACCACCGCGCGAGTTCTTCCCGGACGATCGCCCGTAAATCATCCTTCCACTGACACTTCCGTGTTTTGCGCAGGTAGGAAATCGCCAGGGCGTACTCCACCAGGACGCTGATAACAAAAATAATAGAGAAGATCAGCCAGAGGTCAAGAGCTTTGATGTAGGAGACTCGTGGAAGATTTGAGCCCACTGAAGACGCCTGAGTCAGGATACCGAGAAGGGACATGAGGCCGAGTGGCACCCGAGCGGGGGCAGCGTCAACTGAAACCCAAAAACTCAACCACGAGACCATTATAATGAGGATATTGGGAATGTACGTGGTCACCAGATATGAGCCTAGTTGACGTGCGATTGAAAACTTAGCGAGGAGACAGGTGTAATTTCCAGTGGAAGTGGAGGCCTGTGAGGTACAGTCGAAGGTAGCAAAGTGTTTAGGAGCGTTGAACTCTGACAGCTGCATTTCGTCATTCAGTTCAATTGGCGAGGTTTCACTCCACATGAATTTAAGCTCAGATAGGGTGTACCCATACGAGCCGATGTTAATGTCACACTCCTGAACATCCATCGGAAATGTCTGGAGGTCCATCTGACACGCGAAGCGCATCGTGATCTTCTGGCTGTACAGGACCTGCCCGTTGGGGTAGACACGTAGGAGGTAGTTTGGAAGAGTCATCTTGTGAAGATATCCCTCTTTCCCATTGCGGAAAAATAAGTCAGGCAGCCACAGTTGGTTCTTCATTTTCGGTGAGACTATAGGTTGAGTAAAGTTCCTGTGCTCGGGCATTTTATCCCATGCTAATCGAGGATCGACCCAGGCTTGTCGGAGCAGCGCGTCAACGTAGTAGTCCATCGTGCGCACATCAATTGAGAAGATAGACTGGATCTTCATATTTACCCTGACTACGGTCGAAGTGTCTAGAAGCTCCGTCGGTCTCTCGTGGGTTTTGTAGTTAAGGAAGATTTTTTCCAAAATATCCTCCCTCTGACTAAGACCCTTTCTCTTTCTTTTTGCCGGAGTTGGTGGCACAGGAGTGGTAGAAGGCTCTGTATATGTCTCTCGTGCTTCATACACATTATATTCATTTACGAAACTATCCTCAAAGCTGGATTCTGGAGGAGAGGTGGGGAATGAGATAGGTGAAGGAGGTAGGTAAATGCTACGAGAGAGGGTATTTGAGTTCACATAATGGGCTAAAAGGAGAGGAACGACCAGTGGAAGGGCGAACTGCATCACACGTCCTTGCATGACCCTTTTAACTGGGGTTTGCGTATGGCTCGTGCACTGCAGCCTAGTGAAAAAGTGGTGGAGGAAGACAGGCTTGCTGATTGGCTCCTCACGCATGTCCGTGCCACCAAGGCTCAGGTTAAAACAAACAACATACCGCTGCGAGTAATTATTTACGAGGCAAATGGCCAAATCGGCATGGTCGATTCAGTAAGAAGAGAGGTAATGCATGAATAAAATCAATTTGGCCACTCCGCTTCCCACGCATAAAATTTACGAGAGGTTAAAAATTACTATTCGGGCTAAGACACTACTCTAGAGACCTCAATCGTTTTTCTACTGACTTTAAAATTTATTTACGTGTTCGCATGGACTTGGAAATCTGGACTGTTAGAACTTAAATCTCTTTCCAGCAATCATTTTTAAACTGATCCCTCGAAGTTTTATAATGAAATATGCAAGTTAATTTAACGGGACGCCTCCAGATGTTCTCTGAGTCCTTTATCAGGTGGATTTCTGATAGCTGCTTAACACAAGCCTAAACTTAGCAATTTTGGAAAATACATAAACCAAATGAGTTCGTAAAGGCTGTGGAAACCGTTGAGAAAGGGTTTGCGATAGGCCAAATCTAGAAGCGCCTAGTTTCCATATCAAGTTCCGTTTTACGGACATTATTCAAAAGAGAGGGAGAGAAAGGACAGTGTGTGATTAAATCTACCTCAACACAACCAGTCCAGTCACCAGTCGTCGAAAACTGGCCCAGTTAGATTAAAAGCTACTGCTCGTTGTTTTTTTTTCCGCGCAGTTAACAGCTTGCTCCAAGTGCTTTAAACTCCTGCCAGGTTTGAGCGGGAAATTTTTTCTTGTGTCTGAAAATCAGACATACCGCTTTCTGGTTAACCCACTCAAATCTGTCCAGAAATGATGAGTTGTGAGGACCTTGCAGAGTGGGCTCAGTTTTAAAAAAAATGTACATTTAAATGGGTGCCTAACAACTATGATTTATTTGGAAAATTTGGCATAAGCCACAATAGAAATAGCTTGGATTGTACGGCCTTAGATCAGCATAAGAATACTTTAATTTGATCATTATGAAATCGTGGATTTAGAGTATTAATCAAGTCCAGAACTTTTACTGAAAATGCTGACCAATCACATCGTTCAGTGTAAATAATCTGATCACTTAAAGCAGGCCCCTAAAAGTTCGGTTTTAAAATGTGCTTCCTCGTTCATGTTGATTTTTTATCGGTGGCATAAATAACTTAGGACGCAACTTTTTTTGAGTCAAAATAAAATGCGGAATATCTAGTGAAAAAATGTACAGTTTGCGCTCTCAAAAATTTAGCCTAGTATCCAGATCAGTCAAAATATTTTCAGCAAATCTAAACACTTATGAATTCATTTAAACACCCACTCGAATTATTTAGGACTTTCTCAATTAACAAGCTAATACATTTGTAAAAAATGGGTTAGAAAGTTAAGTAAGCAAAAATACGTAAGGAAATAATATGCTCAATATCGATATTCACTAAAGGTTTTGACAAATGTGGCTCACGTATAAAACCGTCAACTGATTCGAAACTTTTATTTGTATGTCATAATGATGAAAACGGCAGAATATAGTGGTATTAAAAACCAGGAAATCAGGTCCAAAATGTCAAGAAACACGTATGCCAACATGCATTTGGTCCCCAATTTTCAGATTTGTAGATGGGTGAAATTATTGTGGGTTTTGTATACTCACACACATCCAATCTGGGGAAGATAACTTTAGTCAGCGTCAACTGTGACGAAAAAATGGAAGTACAACTTAAATGTTTCGATTTATAACATATTATTTTCTATTTTGCCCAATGCTTACACCAGAATGTAATACGAAAATTCAGGCCAAATCTAAATCGTTCAAGTCATGATGGACAAGTGAACGGAAAACGCAGAACTTGCAGAGGCATAATCAAACGGCTTCCCTAGCTGGCTGGTTTAAATCGAAGCGCGTTGATGCATTGAAGTTGAAAAGTTGACGGCAAACAGAGGCAGTCACTGTGTAGCTGAGTAGAGCACGAGGTCAAGTAAATTGTGAATCGGAAACCTGTAACCCGAAAAGATAGCCCTGGTTTGCTTTTAAGTGGTGGGGACCCTGGATATTGGTTGAACCTAACTGTGCCATAATATACGCCGGCACCATGAACAGAACCCTGTAAACTGACTTCACTTTTGACGAGCTGAATTGTAATCATTGCTTTAATAAATTAAAAGTCAGCTAGAAATGAACACAAATTTGTTACAGTGGTACTGTTGTGGGCCCCAGCATGCGGTACTGAACCACGCCGGGCCACTGAATTAACCCTGGCTCGATTACCTTTGCCTGATACCCGCGATGAAGGAAAAGGCCGCAGAGAACCAGACACAACCGTTTACTTCAGAACTCAACCACGTTGGTGTCGTTGTGTCGTGTGTGGGGTTTGCTCGTGTGTATTTGTAGCTCGGATGTGTGAGTCGTAACTGCGCTAACATCAAGACCTAGGTGTGAAGGTAATCCAAGATAAATATTCGTGTGAATTAAGGGGGAGTTGAGGATTTGGGCGGCTGGCCCCATGCTGCGAGAAAGGGGAGCCCTGTGTCGGAGGCGAAGCGATCGGGTTAACGGCTAGAATAAACACGATTCACAACAGTACAAAGAACCATTTATTGGAGATAAAAAGAATCTAAATGAAGGAATCTGGAGTGAAGCAGTGCCCACAACGGAGATTCGATTTAACAACCCTTTAGTGGATCTCATGTCGGCAGGTGCTGAATTAGGTCCCCGTTGGAAGGATTTTAATTCGAGGCGTCTGGAATAAATATATTTTTTTTTAATATTTCATGTTATAGTCACCCTATTTTAAGGTATAATTTTCTCTTATTTCTCACCGATTATAAATTGTTTATTTGAAACGCAGCACAACAATAAACTACCTTCCGATTCCAGCGCTTCTACTTTAATTGGTCAGACAAGGAATAATTCGTTTGTCCTTTGAGATTTAAGGAGCCAGGAAAATAATGTGGTTAAAATTATCAGACATTGAAAACAACTTGCTTGGCGAATAAACAAGACGATTAATTAAAACCGTGGTCACTGATTGAAATGGATTACCTAGTAGATTATTTAACTGGGCGTGCGTAACCTGCTACTGACATAAAGTACTTAGTAAATAAAATTTTACTACCACTGAATACAGTGGATGCAGAATTTTAGAAATTGGGAAGAAATACCTTTAGTCTCGAAATAAAGGTCAGCAAAAACGGAATTTTCACAATACATCAATAAAGCAGCTTAGGTAAAGAAGTGTACATTCAAAAATGGCTAATTTGGTCTCACTGATGTGAAGAGTGTTTAAAACAGTTTTACCGCCAAGTTTCAAGCAGTAAAATCCACCCTCATTGTCTCTTCTAGATGACTACAAACACCATAACCACCACATGAGCCACAGCCAAATTTACTACGAAGTAATTCATCGATTCTCCCATGAAATTTTATGCGTCGTAAGTGACACACAGCATGCATAATCCGACATCCAAATATGTTAACCACATCATCAGCAAAACACATGAAAGTTGGGACGGAAACGTAAACGCCTAACAGTTACATATGAATCAGACCTTAGTTTCATTTCGCGTCACCGATGTGATAGGAACTTGTCTATTATAACCCAAATACATTTCATTAAAGTTGAATTTACCACAGATTTGCATCGGATTCATGTGAAATCCTTGATACTACTTCAGCTCACAAGGGGTTGGAAATACAGGCATTTACACACAAGGCTTTTCTTTAAAGGTGAGTTTAAATTAAGAAAGGCAGGACCGAGAGCTAAAAGCTTACCATGCTTGGTTGGCACACCAATGCATCCTGTACCAGGTGCTAAGGGTTTGTCTGGGTTGCCATGGTAACGTGTGGTCTGCCATTGTCACACTGGGATACCATCCTCTCCTTAGACAACTCTGGCATCTTACTATCGGTTGGTGCTTTCGGTTGGACAAGCCTCATCGGCACAGCGCCGATGCCGCGCTTCTGATACCATATGTTGGTTGCCGAGGCTAGTTTGGGAGCATGTAGTCCCTGTCAAGAGATTGTGAGTGCACATGCCAGATTTCGATCCCAAGTCTCCGTTGCCGAAGCGGGTGTCCCTTTCAACGCAATTGCCAAGATGGTTGGTTAATGGCACAGTCTCTGCTTTCACGCTGGCGTTGTGGGAAGCTAATTCGTGGAAGACTGGTGCGTTGTAGCCGTGCACTGAAACTGTCTCACGCCACATATTCGGTTCGGAGTGCTGTTGGTATAAGGTCTTGCGTTTTGGCGTGTTTAATCCCTCGATGATGAGGTGTGATGTGCCTTTGTGTCAGTGTGTAATAGAGTTTGCAAATGTACGTTTGGCGTGTGGTTGCCGTGCTCGTGTTTTCCAAACTGTTTGTTTGCAATGTGGCTAGAAGTACGCGTTTCAAAGCATGTGTTCGCCATTTACATAGATGACTTTTCTCCGTAATTCTCGAAGCCTACGACGACTAGCTGACTTGCGGCATGTGTTGGGTTTGTTAACAGACCTATTTTTGACTGGTATTACAGTGTAGTGACACCGTGACAGTCAATCAGCCGGCGACAATTGGAGTTCCTCAGTTTATTCTGCTGCAGCGTATTGACGATAAGCTTCACGATCAGTCAAGGGCCTTGCGGGATCCTCCAAACGTCAATAATGATAGCTAAAAGCCAGAAATCCCAGATTTTCTCGGAACTGCTTGCCAATAACTTGTGTTATATCAGTCTTCGACCTGTAAATCGCATTTTTCCACAACCATCTCGCCGGTTAAATACATAAAGTGCAACTGACGTTTTAATCAAGTACAAAGTGATGAATACAGAAGCGTTGAAAGCGGTTGTTTAACTGGTCTTCATCTCACACTAAACACACAATGGACGAAGACCCCTTACTTGACTCGGTGACAGAAAACACCCGAAGGAGAATGTGCCTCAGAAAATCATTGACCTCATCTCCTACTTATCGAGACTAGAGCCTAACGCCTGAGTACTCAGTTCCACAGCCTCGACATCGTTCAAAACGCTCCAGATTTGAAGATGGATCCGTTAAGGCTCGATGCATCAAGATTTACGACAGGAGAGCAACCATTTATCGAGTTGTGAAAATAGATGATGTTTCTAACGGGAGAAAGGCACCTTCTTAAATGGGATCTCGCAAGATCGATCTCTGAATGCACACAGCTGAGTAAAGTGCATTCAAGTAAATCGACTGAATTTGCTTGCTCACGCTTGCTTATCGCCACAAACCCAACGTGAATAGTCACACTGCACCCAGCACCAAAGTTCACCCACGATGAAGAGAAAAGTAACTGACCAAAACTAGTTGATCTTAAAAACGCGATGAAGGGGGGTCAATGGCAAAATATCACAAATGAGTTTAAAGTAAGCGACATTCAATACGTCTTGTGTGGATGAATTTATGTATGTACACAGCCCACCGATGCACGTTTACACGGGTATGCACTTAAATAGGTATTGGGGGTGGTGGGGCAGAGAGGCTGCCGCGGAGAATCAAAGCAGGAGGGAGGGAGGGAGGGGGAGTACGATGAGCCGGGAAAGTATTTACACAGCCACTTCATGAATCATTGCGTGGTGGGAGCAGGCTTCACACTATCATCCAGTGTCACCAATTTGTTCCAATCATCCAGGGCGGTTTTTGCGTCGGCAAGTAGCTAGAAAAAGGAGAGGATAAGGGTAGATACAAAGCAGACCGCTGTTATGAGAACCAAGTAATCCATTCCAATTAGCAAAGAGTTGGACAGCAGTACTGAGTACTAACGCGCTTCCTTGTCAAAACGCTCTCATTGGGTTGGTGAATAATGCGAAAGATAGATTGCGTGCAACAACAAAGACTAGCGCGGTGGATAAAAACTGATTTTCGAAATATTTTGTTTGGATCTACAAGGTCAAATAGGCATGGCTGAAGGACTGACAACGTTGTCGCATCATGTCCTCCAGGGCCGAGAAATTCTGGAAGAGATCCCGTAGTAAACGACAGGCATGGATCGACAGCCGATGCAGACGCAAATAATGAGAAGCGGTCTGTTGTGGGCCCCAGCATGTGGTCTTGAACCACGCCGGGGCCACGGAATTAACCATGGCCCGATAACGCGTCCCCGATACCCACGATGAAGGAAAAGACCGGAGAGGACGCGGGCACAACCGGTTACTTCAGAGCTCAAGCACGTTGGTGTCGTTGCGTCGTGTGTGGGGTTGGCGCATGTGCATTTATAGCTAGGATGTGTGAGTCATAAATGCGCTAATATCGAGACCTAGGTGTGAGCATAATCCAGGATAAATATCCGTGTGAATGAGGGGAGAGTTGAGTATCCGCGCGGCTAGCGACATGCTGCGAAAAGGGGAACCATGAGGTGTGAATAAACACGAGTCACAACAAGTCTTTCAAATTAAGAGCGCTAGTCGATTTAGGACGTGTCCATCACACGATTCTGTGCAGACATGGGCTCCACTCAAACCATCACGGTTTCAGGACTCACCTCAACAAACGGAGGAAACTCCGAGAGGAAGGACTGAGCAATAGTACGAGCTAGGCGGGAATACGAGTAGTTGGAGAGTAGCTGAGCGACCTCGGAATGGAGACAGGCGCCGATGTGGCTGGGGGATCCTTCTGATCGACGCATAACCGCCTTGGTGTAGAGCTCAACGAGGCTGGAGTCAACTCGGCCGATGAGAACACAGTTCATGAGATTTTCGATGGCTTCCAAAACGTCGCAATGCCAGGACCCCGCTTCGGTGTCTACTTCGGCTAGAAACCCAGTGATTGTATCATAAGAGTCATAACTATGGAACTAAAAACTGCAACTGACCAATTGACATGCAATGATCCAAAACACTGTTGTGAAAAGAGATTTACTAACTGGCTGAGGCGATTGTACAAGAGATTTATTGTATCCAACAGACTCTTTAAGGTTCGCGGTGTAAGGACTTACGCTGAGGGCATGGCCTATCGGAATTTCGGCAAGTCTCTGAAATGCAGAGTCTTCGAGTGATATCAGCAGACAGGTAATCAGCTGTGTTGGTGTGAGATTCGGCGCGTGAGGACCCTCCAATATCGGGATTCTGACGTTGTCTACAACAAACAACAAAAGCCAAAGCATAGATTGATTGCCGTGAGCCCACTATTTATGGTGTTAGTGAAATTGCCCTACTTTTCTACACTCGAACAAAAAGAGGACAAGGGTCGAACCAACCACGAGAGGAAGTTTAAACGGATATTTGCTACGCAGAAAGGCATTTACTTTTTTACTTGAAAGGCAACAAGGCAAGAATATTACGCATAGATTTAGTCAACTGATTTTTACCCGCTGACCACATTCAATTGTGGCTCAACAGTTGGAGTCTCTTGTCTCTGTGGAGAGTCACAAAAGCAGTTCCTGCCGAGGGTGCTCACGTCAACAGGCAGAATGAGGCCACGAAATACAAAGGTGTCAGACAAGGAGCGCTGAGTTGCCGAAGCGGACGAACAATGCGACGGCGATGTGCTTCGGGTCTTTGATTTGCTGCAATAAAAAGTTTAGAGATATTGGACCACACAACTAGCGTCACGTGCTTCTTTCACGAGGGGATTTCGGTGCATTTGTCGAGCCCGAAATGAACATTTGTGCTTTTTTCGTTAGCTCACCAAGTAGTTTACGGTTAAATTTTTAGCTGGAACAGACAGTAATTCGTGCTTTTATCAGCTCCCTCAAACTGCATTGGCCAACAGCCTTCATTAGTCAGACACGACTTGTGGCGAACCGTGACGTGACACCCGACACACAATTTTGTTGAGCCATCTGGTCGACGGTTGTGTCTTCGCCAGCTCCAGTCTAATCAGTGTTCCGGATGGACAGGTTTGGCTTAATATAACACACCGCGGCCTTCAACAGATTCAAGAAATCCTTTTTCGTTGAAAACTACACAAACTCAGAGAGCCTATCGCACGTTCTGAAGATATGTGTGTGTGCACAAATGATTCCAAGACCGAGAAGGTGCAAAAAAAGTGTAAGCACACGTGAACCAGGTAAGCTTTAATAAACCGAAAATGGGAAGTACTGGATACTTTGGAGTAAAAGTGAGACACCTACATCACAGAATCGAGCGGGTGGTGTTGGAACCAATCAGGACTGGAAATGGACTGGGTAATAGCGCCATCGCTGCCATTATTCATCGAGGAAGAAACGGAAAGCGCCCGCTTCCAACTGTCAGCACCGTTGTTGCGTTGCTTGCGGAGAGCGTTGAGTGCGCGCAAAGCGACCGTAGTCATACGACCCTTGGATGACACCAACCACCGCACTGGTCGAGGCAGGTGCTCTAGTGAGCTGTTTAGGGCGTGTGTAGAGGGCGAGTAGAGGGAGGAGGTGTTGGCGGCCGTCTTAACGGTCACCAAATCCGACACGGCAGCACTTGCGGCTGCCTCGCTGCTGCCCAATGAAATAGCGCTCAGCTGAAGTGCCTCAACATCTGAGGGATGACGCAAAGAGAGAGCAGTGGGATGTTTAAATTATGAAACCACATCGCTGAGTTAATACAGAAGCATTTTGGCAGCGAAAATTGGTGGCACGCATTTCAATGAGTCGAGCATCCTTTTGTAGGCTATCAAAGATTGGTAGCATGGATAAACTAGTCTTTAATGTAAAAGAAATCAATTTCGGCGCCAAGTTGCGATGAAAAGGTTGGTTAGCAAACGGAGTAGAGTCATGGGCGCCTTTAGAATTTAAGCAAGCACTAGTCGGATCTATATGTTGGCCTAATTGGATAAAGACCATGGTGAAAACGATTAAAACTAAATTGTACGTGATAGTGTTGTGATAGTGTTGTCTGCCCCAGAATGCGGTCTTGAAACACGCCGGGGCCACGCAATTAACCCTGGCCCGATTGCGCTTCCCTGATACCCTCGATGAAGAAAAAGATTGGAGAGGACGTGCACACAACCATTTACCTCAGAGCTCAACCATGTTGGTGTCGCCTGCTTCATCCATAAACATGCTCGTTAATTTAACTAACGAGCCATTTGATTTGCTTTTTGGTTGGTAAAATCCATTGTCAATGTTGTCGTATTAGTCAATTAATCGTCGTGTATTTTGGGGTTAAACTGCGTCTACTTCCGATAAGCAATGACAGGGATAACTTAAGTGGTAACACAAATTGATGTTAATTAAAATTAAAAAAAACAATCACCGAAGTGAGAGGAGCGTAAACAAGTACATTTTTTTTCTAAATAAACCTAACGCCTATCGAAATAAGTGAAGGCAGAAAAAATTTGACATTCTCCCGTTACAAGGTTTAAAACAAAAACCTTTCGATGACTTTAAGAGCTGATTCTCAAGTTACTTGGTTCCTATGCATAGGCACTTTCGTTTGGCAACAACTTTACCTAGAGCAACATGGGATTCACTAAAGTCGTGTCCAGTCGGGTGGATTCGTTGTTCGGTGGAGGAAGAAGCGGTCATGACTTGCGCGCCCTCAGTTGCTGTTGTTGGAAGGGGGGTCTGGGGCGGGGGGAGGTGGAATTGCGGTCGGGCCTGGTCAACCCCCTCGGCACTGTCGGAGTGCTGGCGGGGTGGAGAGAGGCAGAGGCGTCGGCGCTGGCGCAGCGGCCACAAGTGAGCCAGTCGGTCTGTTCGTGTAATCAGCCACGGCCCCCCGGCACCACCACCTCGGCTACTGAGAAGATCGGCTCCGCAGCTCGAAGAAGCTATGAAGCAGAGTCCAAGCCAGGCGTTTCTGTGGTCAAAACAGTATTAGTAATGCTCAACTGATTTTACAATTTGGATGCAAATCAAATAAAATAACCATTAAAAACTGGCAGCATCTAGCGGCGGTTTTAATCGAGCGACTCAAAAAGCAACACAAACGTGAATGTGGGCCAGGTACGGAGGCGAAAGAGAGCTTAAGACGAAAACTGAAGAAAGACGTGAAAATGGATTTGTGAAAAATTCGGATTTAAAACTGATCACGCGACAACGTGCTGTCGCAATATATAGCTGAATAACACCATGTCATACAAGATACATACAACACAAGACAATTATTACCAAGTCCAAACACTTAATATTTATAGCTATTTCCATACTAACAAAACAATTCCACAATATAAAAAGAAGAGAAACTAATGATCGCAAGGTTGCATTTTCAAAAGAAACTGTCAGCTGCTCTCAGTGTGACATCATACATGAAAAAAGTTCAGAAATGTTACAAGAATTAAGCCAGTCACGATTATGAAGAAAGATAACTGCAGGCTACCGAACTACAACTTAAGCATACATCTCCGCATGAACCGACCCCATTCACGAATTGAAATTGACAGGGCATATCAGTTGTCGCCGGCTGATTGACTATGTCACGGTGTAACCACGCTGTACTACCGGCCAAAAATAGGTCTGTTAACAAACTCAACGCATGCCGCAAGGCAGCTAGTCGTCATAGGCTTCGAGGATTATGGAGAAGTCATCTATGTAAATGGCGAACACATGTCTTGAAAGGCGTGCTTCTAGCCTCATTGCAAACAAACAGTTTGGAAAACACGAGCACAGCAACCACACGCTAAACGTACATTTGCAAACTCTATTACACACTGACACAAAGGCACATCACACCTCATCATCGAGGGATTAAACACGCCAAAACGCAAGACCTTATACCAACAGCACTCCGAACCGAATATGTGGCGTGAGACAGTTTCAGTGCACGGCTACAACGCACCAGTCTTCCACGAATTAGCTCCCAAACTAGCCTCGACAACCAACATATGATACCAGAGGCGCGGCATCGGCGCTGTGCCGGTGTAGCTTGTCTAACGGAAAGCATCAACCGATAGTAAGATGCCAGAGTTGTCTAAGGAGAGGATAGTATCCCAGTGTGACAATGGCAGACCACACGTTACCATGACAACCCAGACAAACCCTTAGCACCTGGTACAGGATGCATTGGTGTGCCAACCAAGCATGGTAAGCTTTTAGCTCTCGGACAGTCATTTACCTGAGCTGACGTAAGGCCTCTGATGGTCCACCCTTTCTTTAGTTAAACTGAATTTAAAATAGCTTCTACACTATTTTGCCAACACGGCTTGAAGATCATAGAGTGGAAATGAGAAAGGTGAGGGAGGTTATTTGTACACAGTTTTGAATAATGTAGCATACGTTCGAAGTGCGCTCGATTTTGTCGCTAGAATTACGTGGCAAGTTGACGAGCATTTCAGACAGAGGAAAAAGCACCGCGGACTCACCCACGAACAGAAAGTGACTCCGCGTGGGTGGTCAGGCGGAAGAGGTCGTCCACGATGCCCGGGGCCCGTGCCCAGCAGGCGCCGTTTCGGGTGACGAGGACGTGGGAGAGTGCCCAAATTGCGGCTTTCACTTCAACAGGACTGGCATTCGTCATCGAGGGCTTCGCCCCTTCCGTCGCTGGCAATTGGTGGTGATGCAGCGATATCCGGTCGGCCAGATCCTAGAAGTTAAAACAAACAACAACAAAAACAGTAATCCGAGATCGGAAAGAGGAATCCAAGAGAACCGACTACAGCGGAACCGAACGGACATCCGTCAAGAGCCGATAAACTGCTGTTATGGAAAGGCAACAAGAAATATAAGTGACGTCATGCTGATGAGGTTGTACGCGTGATTAGTGAAGGCTGCGTCAGTAAGTGCTGCCTAATGACTGTCAGGAGGATTAATTTTGAGCACACGCCCACCAAAACAAAGCACGAAGACTTAATGAAAGACGTAACTGGTACGGGTGTTTCTGCAGTCACATTTTTTCAGAGTGTCGATTTTCCGAATCATGCGAACGGTCACGGTTACTCGATGTTGGGGCGAAAATGCTGGACCAAAGTGAAAACCTGCATCTACGACAAACAGATGCATCATTTGAGGGCGCATAGCAGGTCGGCAACCACTCATGGGTAACATACATTTGTATTCTGGAAAGCCGCAATTCAATTGGCCTAAATTGAAACGACGGATACGTGTATACAAAAACACGCATACAAACCACAATTGATGTTTTTCGCTGGTTTGGATAACACCGGTATGGGCGAACATTGTCCGTATAGACCAGACGTACCTGCAAATGGCCGTGCTCCAACAGAACTCGAAATCCCGCCTCATGAGAGGCCAGACAGGAGAAAAGGTGAATTGGGACGAAGGTATGACTGGTTTCAAAAAAGAATTGTTTGGCCACCGGGGACAACTCGACAACCACGTCCCTCCCCTCCTCACTATCTGCACTGAATGGTGTGAAGAATCGGTTGCTTTGTCGATTGAGGAAATGCTCGTCATCGTCTTGATCGCCAGGCGCCCTTAAAGTGGCAGTTGCGGATCTGATAGACTGATTGCACGCAGGGCAGAGTTTAAGAGAAGGGAGACCTATATGGGTCGTGGGAACACCTACCGGTGATTGGTGAAGGCGAAAGTTATTTTGAAGAAGGGATTCAATGCTTCGTGAATATTCTTCGTTGTATACCTGCGAGAACAGATAACATACAACTTCAATAAACGGCAAATGAACATTTCAATTACACTCCACTGATTTTAGGTTACGATTCCAGAGCATACTAAACTTCGCACGACTTTTTTTTTAAAAAAAAACATCCTGGTAAGCATATACAGAGCAAGTCACCTATGAAATACTAACTTGCACGAGCATACACTCGTGGGGTGGCCTAATGAGCAAAATCACCATAGGATTATTTGTTGATTTGAAGCGAAAAATGGATTCTAAGTAAAGCAACGTCCTTAATGTCAATGTATTAAGAGACAAGGAGTGTGACTATTAAACAGAGTGAAAACTTACTTCCAGCCAGGCCTGTAACATATATTCGAGTGGTGTTCCAACAATATTGCTTCGATAGTATGCACCGAGAGTTCGCACTGTGGATGACTTAGGCGTGGAGAACAGTTTAAACATCCAAGGAGAACTGGCGAGAAGGCAAGCGACTATCCTCTGGCTGGAGAAGCCGGCTATCGATAGTAAATGCAAAACTGGACTTGGGAATGCTGCACAGCAACGGTTTGCCGCCTGAAAGGCCGTGCCTGTCGATTTTTTATCCGGATGAAGGTGGTCAAGGAGAATTTGTACACTAACGGGATCGAGGCAAGCCTCCTGAAGTTGAGTGAATGCGCATAAAACGATAGATACTCGCGTTTCAGTCAAGCAGTCAGAATCAAAAGGCACAAACCTCAAGGACGGAAACGGCTTCGTAAACAACTTTGGGATCGGGATCGAAGGAGAGAGTAACCAACAAAGGGACACACCAGGATTGGGTACCGGGTATTTTTAGTCGCAGAAGAAGGCGAATAAACTTTGTCGCGAACAAACGCAGAGCCTAAAGTGAAACAATGCAAGCAGATCTGAAACAAATGAATACCAGTACATTTTGTATTACTTAGATGGGACAAAGACAGACGATAGTTTAAGCGGAAGATGTAGTAAAACCTACATTATGACCCCATGAGCAAATTGACACCAAAAGGCTTCGTCCAATCCCAGGCCCGGAGTAATCCATGGATGCCAGAAGAATTTTTGAGCAAAGAAAGCGCTGGTTGTTGATGGTTTCCTTAACATTTACGGGCCGATACTCTGATCGATTTTTTTCGTTGCCAATCGTTAAGGTAAGCAGCGATTCCGGAAAACCCAGTGATTGCAACAGTGCCGCACCATCTTCGAACGCGGCCAATCGACCAATGGCAAAAAGCAGGAGGGATGAACAGTGGTCACGCATGTGATTAGTCTGGAATAGGAGGTGGATGCAGGTGGTCATTGGTGATTGGCTGGGCGTTGCTGAGGCGATGAGACATGTGTGGATAGAGGAAAGAAACCGGCGTAACAACACTCCTGGAAGACTGTCCTGTTAAAAAAAGACAATCAAGTGTCAGTGAGAATTGCCTACTTTGACACAGAGCAGAGGTTACATTATGTGCACGATTTAATTTTCACAAATTCTTTCTTTGAGATTAAAATGGAAACATTTTCGCGGACTTTTGTGATTTTCAAAGGATTGGAAGTAAGATTTCAGAACACCGAACAACAAGTCTAAGTGAGTTACACAACCACTCAGAATAGCAGTCTACGTTGGCAGCTGATAAACAGCCCATTCGATGGCACTGCATTTTACACGCATTCTAACAGGAAAAAAATACATCCAAAGCACAATAATCAATTAGTAGTGTTCTTGGTTCCGAATTTGTGTCGTATGAAATGAGTACTCCTTGGTACAAACGGTTCAGAAGTGTTTTCGATGTCAGTGACCAGCCGCTCGCCAGACAGCGGCCTCAATGCGCAAGTGCAAGATCTATTGGATGTAGACTCAGAGCAAACGCAACAAGAGCCTGCAGCAACTCAGTTAGGAAAATTGTGACACTTGATGAAAAGCATATTTTCTGTTTCGAGAATATCAATCGTAGAAGTCGTTAGTAGATATCAATCGTAGATGGACAATATTCTCAGGATTAAATTCACTGTTCTCTACTTTTTTAGTATTAAATAACTTTGTCAAAAAATTTGCAGAAATTAAGTCCTACACCTAACATAAAGTTATTTTCGAGGGTTTGCTGAAGCATGACTGGCATGAAGAGGCTCAAGTGAGACTAGAACCTGGAACTTGGAAGAGCCTGCATTAATTAGGGCGGTTCGTGATGATTTGGAAAGATCGGGCGCGTAGCCAATAAACACGAATCAAGAGAAACCTATAGGCGGGAGGAGGCTGCTATGCGACTCACAGGGGCATACAGACAGAGGTGGGGCAGCAGACTGGCAATGAGAGTGGCTGCAGCCCAGGCCTGGGGCCAGTGACGACTGGTCCAAGCGAGACTTGGCGTTACTGTGGTGGTGGTGGCGGCGGCGGCGGTGGAGGAGGTCCCATTGATGTTTCGGCGATCGAGAAGACGCACGTAGGCAGGTGAGAGCGGGAAGATGCCTTCGCCTCCTTCGCCACGTCCACCCTCAAACAGGGAGTAGGTGGTGGAGACTCCAGCGGGATAGGCAACGTCAAGAGGCATTGCAAGAACATCCAAGTTAGGCGTCAAAAAGTCCATCAGGCGTGTTAAGAAGCTGGATAATTAAGGTACGCAGTTGTCATTCACTTAAAAAATGCCATGAATCAGAGGTAAAAAGCTCGAAATACTTACAGCTGCCTATTGTGCTCCCTCCAAGAGAACACGGAACCAGTGTCGATTCGGGCAAGACGGCGTCCCCACGTAGCCAGGAGCTCCCAGTTCCACTCGTATGGCGAGGAATAAGGCGTGACAGGGGATACTCCGCTTGCAACTGAGCCGTAATTGTTGGTTGGAACGCCGGTGTTTGAAGGAAGAGAACTCTTACAAACAGGAGACGTTATGGAGCCGTTGGCTGTGTGCTTGATTGAATTAAGTAGCAGTGAAGTCGCAGTGGTGGTGGCTGAATTGATAGTCAAGAGAGGCGTGGTGGCGAGCGAAAGCACACGACTTTGGACTACAATATTTTCGACGAACTCGTCCAGAGGCTAAAGAAAGCGAACGATTAAACAGACTTGGAGTGGCGAAAAGGGCTCGAGATAGAGACTTCAAAGCTAGCGCTTTCCTTTGTAGTTCTTGTTGTGATTCAAAAATCCACAAGTGAAAAACGCGATTCACCAAAAACGACAAGCGTCATTACGAAGTATGTTTTGCAATGTCACGTGCCCACAAAAAAGCACCACTTTGAGTAGAAATGTACAGTGAGATAGAAGGTTCGCTACTTCAGGCCACTAAAACATCACCCATTCGGCATACGAGACAGGAATGTAGCCGTAGCACAAAATTACCGCTGAAAAACTTTTGTCCATTGCACAAAAGCTGGTGGGAAATTTGACAATAGCAAAGAGCATGAAAATGGTGCTTGGGTTTTTAACAAGTTGTCAGAGACCCCTTGGCAACTATTTTGAAGGGCAATTTCTATCACCTTTCAAATAATGGGTGTCTATGCCAAGTTGAGCCAATAAAATCGTGCCTTAGAACAACTTAAAAACTCTTCGTTTTAGATCCACCACGACTGAAAAAAGAAAGTGCAACCGCAGTAACAGAGTAGTCGAAACTAGCCTGAGGCAAAACCGTGGACCGTGAAGACGCGGCAGTCTTTCGTAACACCGTGGCAACATTGGTTCCTTCGTTTTTCACTGGGGAGGTACGGGCGAGCGGCGTACGAGGTGATGACCGACGCAGACCAAGTCGTTGGTCCGCAAGACACTCAAGGAAGGGCGAATGAAGAGGGGCGAGGATGCGGGAATTGCGACTTGAATGATGCAGGTCTAGTAAGAGTCGATGAATTCGATCGAGGTAATCAACGGCCTGAGAGTTTGTGCCCAACAGACGAACACTCTGAAGACGGGCCACACAAGGGGAACCGAGAGGTAGTTGGCTATTGATCTGCAAAAAGTAAGGCATTTCGAATATGTGATAAACGTGAGTTGTTGTAGAGTAGGGCACATGCACTCGTCGAAAAGGAACAATCAAGACCAGGGAGCAGAATTCGCTACAATCCAGATGCGATGCACATTCAGAGAAGAGTGTCCAAGAATGCGTTAGTGGCTGTTTGGGTAAGATATCCACATAAGCTGTGACAGTTATACATTATGAGAGCCGGACATGAAAAATTAACACACAAATGCTCGCAACACACCCGAAATGCCAGAATCCCGAGCAACTGGCCAGCAGCAGCTGAGGTGTAAGGTGATTCGTCATTTACAGCGGCAACCAAGGCCTAAAAAAGCAGTTAAATTGGAATTCTGTAAATGGCAAAGGACTTAGATTGCTTGGACAAAAAAATAGCTAACGTGTCAACATAGATACCAATAAGGCACTGATTTTTATGCACACAGTTACTACACATGTCAATATCGCCCATAATAGTTTCTCCTACATTCGATTTCCGATTGCCTAAATAGAATTCACATCAAAGCGAAATGTGCCAGAGTCAATTGCAAGGCCAACGAGTATATGCAGACCATAATTTTTAGTACCTTTAACGGTAAAACATGTCCGGAAACCGATTTGGATAAAGAAAAAAGAAAAATAACTCAACAAGTATATCGAAGAATAATATAAAACGCGCCTGGGTCATCCAGTGCAAAGACATCCCACTTTACACGTCCACTCATCACAAGACGTGTGAAATCAATGGAGTTTAGGCGGGAGTTTGTAATCAAAAGCCCACTTTTATAAAGAAGGCATAAATGAGATAGATTGGTTTCGGCTAATACGCCAGTTGATCGGTAGATTTTTTTGCGAATTCGAGGCAACCAATAGACATGTAGCCACTAGAAATGAAATTGGATTGGCAGAAGATGATTACATTCGACTTGCACTTTCTTTGAATAACCTAAAAGACGTTCCTCTTTCATCAAATTGGTACAATTGTAATGTCATCTGTTAATTATCCCCAAAATTACTTACGCACCAACCTGAAAACATGAAGCAGTTTTCCGTTTATGACAGTTTGGAGTGGAGTGGTAGGCTTAAGAGGTTTATTTAACTAGATATTCAGGATTTTCGGACCAAGGCGTAAACCACCACTAAAGTTGCTTCAGGGTAATACTGATCCACTCTTGAATACATACTTCAAACAGCCCCGATTCGACGAGACTGCACAGGAGAAGAGACGAATGCGCTTCCAGAATGTCCGTGCCAGCGGCCTGAACCACCGGAAACACACGCATGCCCTCTTCAACGACGAAATCCCCATCCAAATAGGGAAAAGGAGGGAAGCACTCGTTGGCGGAGGGTTGGCGCTTGGACTGGAAGTGCTCGAGAGGGTAGGCGAGTCCTGTTAACAGGGCTGAGGAGAGACCAGCAAGGACCTTGTCGATTGTGTTTTCGCCGGCCACATTGGGCAGGGGCGCGGGAATACCGGGAAAAAGGTTGTACAGGAGGCTTAGCACCAAAATCTGGGAACATATAACCAAAAAACTAGTATTTAGATCCCTAAACCACCATAATTCAACTACGTGATTTTAAGCAACAAGTGAAACTACATTAGGAAATGAGAAAACAATTTACCCTAACGAATTGTAACTCCATAAGACACATCTTGGTGTTTCTTCGGGGTCTGCGTTAATCATAGCAGTTTGGGAGAATGAAAGGGATAACGTTGTAAACATATAAAGAGAAATTGGCGAAGATTAATGGTAAGCGGCAAGTAGTCTGTTTGCAAGCTTTTTTGACGGTCATCGGAATAGTTACCGGTCATTACCGAATTAATTTTACCCAATTTAAATTGCAATGCCCAACTTAGTTAGATATTACGCGGGGGAGGGTAGCATTTTCGCAGGTATCCGAATGAAACCGTCTGCGGGACTACGGCATAACGAAGTCCATCGAAGGACCCCGAACAAAGTCCGGTCATTGCAACGCAAGTAGGTACTACTAACATGGCGATATGAACCGAGGGCAAAAAATAACCACGGCTTACCCGAAGCTTTGAAGAGCCAACAGCAAGAGACGACACCAAGGAGATCAGACAATTTCGTCCTTCGGAGAGAAAATAAAACAAGCCTACAAAATAAACACTGTATAAAATCAAGACAGGACTAAGGAAGGGATACAATCCAGGCAATAAACGTTCCCTTACCTGGCCAAGAACGGAGAATAAACACGAGAGAATCTCTGGTTGCGGCCAAAAAGGAGGGATTTCTACATTTCAAAAATGTAAAAGCGTGAAGGCAATGCAAGAAGCAAAAAGACGCTTTCCAATAGGCAATGGGATGCAGATTTTGGTGTTTAAGATAACGCTTGGGAGGTCACGAATCTTCTTCGATTTCTTATTGCCAGACTAATTGCCGTTCTTGTGAAATGCCAATCTGGTGAACGTAGACTTCACTAATTAATTTAAATTGGGTCCACTCAATTAATTTACTGTCGCACACAGACGAAAAGGTTGGGTGCTCTGGCTTTTGGCATACGAATTACACAAATCAGACTGATCCGTCATTCTGTTCACATGCGATTGAGAAAAGCAAATGTACAAGATTTCGTGCGTGTCGAAAATTCACCTAAAATACACCCGAGTGCATCAGTGTTCTCCAACTTACCAGTGAATGGGCATAACTTTTGAAAGAATAACGTGATTGTAGGTCTATTTGTTTAAACCACAAATAGATTGCAGTTTAATAGGAAATGTGGATGTTAAAATCTACAGAGGCATTTGGAGGGATGTTAATGCAGGCCAACATTCGTCACAGAATTGTTTAGAACTGAGCTAGATCGCAACCGAACATCAACAAAGTAGGTCGAGGAATGGGGACTTTGGGCCAGATACCAGTCAAGAGGGAAACCACCACCAGTGGACATTTGGCATTCGGAAATGGAAGTAGTGCAGTGTACACACACACACACCGCGTCGCTATGTTGGGAGATTATCGTCCAACCTCGTTGCGTTACCAGAAAATTCCGGAAATAGTGATCAATTTCTTGCTAAATTCATGCATTTGATAAAAATTCACTTTTAAAAATCAGACTATCAATGGAACGGGCTACATGAAATGACCCTTCTAACACAGCGATAGGGCTCGCCGATTGGTTGCCTGAATAGTCTACTTCCTTCAAGCGTGTTACACAAACCAAAGTCATAAATGTCCGATAATAGCACAATCTTCGGGCAAAAATGCAACTACCACCAATAATGAGTGTAGACTTATTGACCTCCGTTTGTCTGTTTTGTTTATGCGCTGTGATCTGGTAATTAGTAGATCCGCGATCAAAGTAAGTAAAGGGCATGTTCCTACTCAGAGGAGCCTTTAAACAAAATATCAGTCGACATTATGGAATTAAACAGCAAGTGATTTCCCTTCGACATTTCAAAACGTAAAACTCGATCCACTAGCAGAGACGTCCAGATGCAACGACTGCGACATCACACAGTTTTTGCACCCAAGAAGAAAATGAAGACGGATCCCACATAGTCAAGAAAAGGCTAGCACGAAGTGACGTGTCACATAGGATTTGACGATGGTCGGTATTAAACGCAAACTCCTCGCCGAAGTGAATTCATTTGCACTGATGGAATGAATAAAGCAGTGTGAACTGCTGCGGACGGATACTTGACTTGATACTAGCCAGAAGTAAGAAGGCGAGAATAAACGTACGAGTCGTACGGTGACCTTGGGATGGTGACAAGTGGGTAACCGGCCATGAAAGGAGAGACGCACTTCTAAAAATAATAATAAAAAAACAATGACAAAAGTCGTTTTTGACACCGCAAAACAAAAGACTGAAGCAACGCTAAAAGAGATGGGCATGTTGTTTCGTTTGTTTGCCTTAAAAAATATAGGCACGCACGACCACCTACCACATAATTAACTTTAAATTAGCCACAAAACAGTGGCCAGGGTTAATAGTGTAATTAAAAGCAACCACAAATTGAGTAGATACACCTATCGGTATAGATACAAAATGAATAGTCCCCGAGTGAACGCCCAACAGCAACCAATTTAGCCAAAAAGCCCTGTCTGAAATAGTCGCAGTATTTTAACGAGATTGTTCACGACCGACAAATTTCTGAGAAAATGTTTTTTATGGTGTACTTAGACTGTCACAGTAAGATGTTGGCAGAAGAAAGGATGGTCGTAGAGTAACAACTGAAGATGGCAAAATTTTCATCGTATTACTTTGCAACACATAAACGACGACAAGTTCAGTTCGTAACATATAACATGGTGCCTAGTTTGGACCGGAACTAATGAAATGTGAGTTTTTAAATGTTGGAAGCCTCCACAGTTCAGTTTGGTATAATTAAACCAAAAAAAGAATCCTTGAACAAGAAAATTGTGGTGTACACTGCACTGATCGACTAATGGCAGCACCCTGTCCTGGTAGAGGAAACGCACTTTCGTAATTGCTTTAATGATAAAACATTGGAGGTATGATAATGACAGGTTCGTGGGAGAGGCCAGTATTCACTAGCAGTGTGCCATCAGAGCCGTCAGAATCACACCATCTCAGTTTCAAGTGCATGAGTTAAATTACCCGGTTGTGCGAGGACTAGTTCTTGCACAACCGTCGTTGCTTTTGGTATGCACACACAAACACATAGCAGGAGAGTCACCAGCCGTGGTCTATGAACGAACATCAACAACCGTCCACCATCTGGTTGGCATCACACAACGGCTGAGCGTCTACAAGTAATTTAAGACCTTCCTCGCCTTGGCCACAAAGTCTATAACCTGCGCGTGGTTCAACGCTGTGTGCCTCGTGTCTGATGAGTTGCTGATGACGCAGGTGAAACATTGCAGCACAGGAGATAAATTCGTTAACAGTCAATGCAGCTACCTATTTGTCCGCCTGTGGTCCAGAGAATTTATTATCTGCCGGAACCTTGATACGGTGTCGTTATCTGGGCTTTACGGTGGCACGGGGACTTAAGACTCGATACGAACGCTACGACTAGGCGGCTGTCAGCGATGATCTGAGTGTAGTTATTGGACCGACAATAGGCATTTTCTCGATACCAACAGGAGCATTGCATTGGAGCTGGATTTTTAAAAGAACATCCCATAGTTGTTTGCAAAATTCACCCCTAATGACGCTGTTTTCTTAGGTTGGAAAGAAGAGCCAAGCGGCGAACACAAGCCAGTGTTTTTAGTTCATTATCAGCTACTAAATAGGTCTCCTGCAAATTGAGCCACCTTTGAGCTACGGAACCTTTCGATATTTAGGACAAAATAATTCTATTTACCACAACGGCGACGCACGTACGGCACTGCCACCATATTTTCAAAACCAACGTGTTCCGAATATTGATGTCCGTCGCAGCGCAAAAGTCTACTTCGAACAGAGAGACACTGATGTATGTGGGGCGTGGTTACAAGGATATTTACAGTAAGAAAACCACCTGTGTACCTGAATCCTCGTGGTGACACTAACCCAACTTGTGGTTTGCTGTATGCCACCGATAGATACTGAGTTATTACACTCAACACAGGGAAGTACTGTGGTGTGCGCTTAGGTTTCAAACCAGATTTACCATGAAAACAGGTCATGACCAACATACATTAATGCATACCAACACAAAATTGCACGTTATTAGTTCAAATCCACAAAAAAAACAAACTTGCGCCTGATTCCGCGAATTAAAACAATCAGTACGCACCAGCACAGTTGTACTCAGCATAACGCAAGCGTCAGAATCAGTGCCAATTAAGCAGTAATAAGAGTGACTAGAACAAGCGTGAAACCCCAGGAACTACCGCGCTCTTGAGAAATGAGTGATGGGAGCCGGTTGTAAATATTTATAGCGATGGCTTTGCATTCCAACGAGGACCTTTACTTTTGCATTAGACGCAAACCTATCACATAAAAATCATGACCAACGAACTACACCGAATCAAAATCTAGCTTTATTGTAAAATATTTCTGCGTCGACAACTCAGAGATAAAAAAAAGGTAGGCATTTGGAAGGCAGAGAAACGAAGCGGAGGAATGATGATCAGAAAACAATGACTATTGAGATATGCGTATAGTAATGAACTTGTCGTGAATCGTGTTTATTCAACCCCTTAATCCGATCGCTCCGCCGCCGACACAGGGTTCCCCTTTTTTGCAGCATGGCGACAGCCGCGCGAATCCTTAATTCCCCACTCATTCACACGAATATTTGCCTTGGATTATCCTCACGCCTAGGTCTCGATGTTAGCGCAGTTATGACTCACACACCCGAGCTATATATACGCGCGAACCCCACGCACGACACCAACGTGGTTGAGCTCTGAAGTAGACGGTTGTGTCTACTTCCTCTCCGATCTTTTCATTGCGGATATAAGGGTTAATTCCGTGGCCCCGGCGTGGTTCAATACCACATACTGGGGCCCACAACAATTGGTAACCCCGATGTTGGACGAATATCAATCTTCTGGTGTCCGAAACACCGACCTTCGTTGTACTGACGTTTGGCGACCTATTACCACAATTCTCCGGACGACGCCAAATCTCCGGATGCTGCTAAACTCTGGACTATGCCCTTCCACTCCCATCACCTGGCGGCGGCTACCCATAGTTCTGCGACAATCCTTCCATTTTTTTGCACAAATCTATCCTTTTTACAGCCTGGCCTCATCCATCGAGTTTCTCTCTTATTCAATATGGCCGCATCTCTCGACTTCTGACCAGCATCCAGGTTTCTTTAAAACTTGCAGGTGTGAGTTCGATAACGAAACTGGTGTGACGTAAAAAGTGGAGAGCGTGATGCACGTTTCGCACCACAAAAATTATGGGGTACAGATTTCATCAAAAGAGAATTTAGGCACACGTTTACAACAGTGACAGGGGAATCTCGAAGTGGGAGATCAGACAATTAAACACAAGATGCGAGCATTAAAAAGGTTCTAAGTTGGACTTGCAGGAGTAGCACGTTACAGTCGCCAGATCACGCGTGTAGAGTAGGCGTAGGGGCACTCAGTAAACGCAGAGGAAGCCGTATCAATATAGACATTAGATTGATTAGGTGTTTGGGTACTGACTTACTTGAAAAACCCAAGAACCAACCAGCCGGCGACCAAGTCGGCTCTCCGCAGACACTCGAACAAGAACGAGAAGGAGCATCTCAAGGAGTTGAGATGGGTGTTTATACACCTCACCCACTTCACCGCAACAGGGCAACGAACTCACCAAACACTTAATGGCAACTTCTAGTGGATGGGACAACGACATACGTGAAAGACTTTGCGGCGATTGTGGAGGTTGCATTTCGAAGTTGCGCACCACTAAAAGGAAACAAGTAGTAGGTACTTATAAGTGTGAGGGCTTAAACCACTACTGTTGCAACCACAACATGGAAGTCTGGTTGGCCGAATACACACCGGAAAACCCGTGAAGTTGTCTAGCACGATCAAATCTTAAGTTAGGCGATGCTCTCGACAAGTCGTTACAAAGATGATCTAATTTAACCACAGTATCTACATAAAAAGAAAAGACGCAACGAGATCAGAAGTGCAGGGAGTGAATGCAAACGACGACAGTCTAGTGACACAGACGAATTTTCTTCAGTTTGAGAAACACGTTTCTTCAGGACCCATCAAGGTTCTAATTGAATAGTGCCAAATGATCGGCCCCAATCGGTCTCAGTATTCATTTTCAACACTTGAATCAAAAAGAGAACGGTAGTGATGGATGATAGCAATGGTAATCAGCATAGAAGAAAACAGAACGTTCCCGGGATTGGAATAGAAGACCTGGAACGTGACTGCACACAAGTTAGTTGTGCTGATTTTGCATGGATAACAAAAACACACCTTAACCGCAGGTACAACCATGTGAAACAATACTGCAATACCAATGACAAGCAAAGCGAAATTACAAACAAATACCACGTGTCCACGGGCTTAGTACTCACCATATTCGGTGAGGAGTAGCAAATAACCCCGTTGGCAAACGTCACGCTCTCGCGTCGTGTTGGTCTGAATAGATGGTGACAACGGGAAGAAATCATCGTCGCGCTCCCTATCACTGCCCCTTCCTCTAGTGACTGCCGACCGGTGGGAGGTGGATGTCAGGGAAGCAGCCAGTCCGTACACCAGATCAGGAGAGAAAGACTGAGGTGAGAGTCGGAGCAATTGGAAGGCCACTTGAAGCACACTCATGCGCTCGCCAGAGGATGTTATTGCATTGCGTGGAGAGATTTCTGTTGAAACAACAAGGCTAAATCTAAAGCTACCAATTACTGTCAAATGACGATGGGGACATAAAAATTTCATGAAAAGATTAGTGGAAAAGTTGACACATCAGGAACTGTTAAGACGAAAAACGTCGTAGCCCACCCATCAGGCATTATTCGAATCACAGTGCGGATGTGTTGGCTGGAACAAGAGTTACACCTATCTTACGCATGAATTCAATTCAAGGCGGATGACAACTTAACAAATCTGTGCACACCCGGACTGTGCTCTTCAAGCAAACTACGACAAACTTGCCAGGCTCACTGAGGGGACGACTACACAACGACCAAACGCCGCGTGGGGTAAGGACGGATGGCGGACATGTCACTGAGCCCGGCAAGTAGTCAATTTCTGATCCCAAAGACGCGCAGTAAAATGGGCTACAGAACGCAAGTAAAACAGGGCGGCAATATTAAGACACTACTTAAAAATGCTACTGACAGGTGAGCTCGCCGTCTGACCCAATGAGCCACCAAGGCCGAAACAATTGTGTGTGGCACTGAAAAGCACACACTAAGCTTAAAAATTGACAATTTTCAGAATTTTGACTGCATTGCAAAGGTTTCATTACTAAAGGAACAGAAGTAGAGTCAGATGATTTACTGCGTGGTAAATAGAAGGGAGGCCAGCTAGTTAGGAACATGCTAACAGCTTATGCTGCAAAACAGCTGATAGTTAGGTGCTCACAGCAGCCTGGGCTTACCGATAAAGTTCAACTAGTAGGGAAAAAAGTGACGATTTTATAGGGGACAATTTGGCTGGTTTGGCACTCAGTAATACCCATCAGGCGAATAATGGTAGAGGAAAGCTTTTGGAACAAGCACTTCCAAGTTTTCCAAAACGCAAAAAAACATACTGCGGATGGGCCGCTGAAGTACACCATTGCCGCCAACTGGCTGACACCCATCTACGCGTCGTCGAAACGCGCCAGCGGGTTGCAGCATCCGCTGTATCCTGTCCTTCTCTTGAAGAGCATTTTGGTCACGAATGGTGGTGGACGATGGTGTCAAGAGTTCCTCCTCGTACGACAGGTCCAGACACCTAGATAGAGAAGACGCCTTTACTCAGAAAGTTTAAAATTTGGATCAGTGCTAAATTGGAAGAGCTGGAATGTGACGGGGAGATCTCAGGAATGTCGAGGTACTCAATAATGATTGTGCCTCCAGTTCCCCTATTCACGCTCCAGTAACCGACCGAGCCACTAAACACAGGCCAAACGTAACACCTCGTGACTGTGAAGTATGCATACAACAAAAGCAGTGTAATTTTTGCAAAGCACCACATCTGTATGCGTAAAAGGAGAAACCCTAGATTAAGTATTCTATTTTACAGGGCTCTGTTTACAAAAATGGCACTGTTACCCTTCGGTCAGTGTTCGGCTGAAAACCATGGATTTCCACAATCACGACTAACTTTTAGGGGCTAGTGAACAACAGGTATTACTAGAAGTTGAATCAAGCACCGAGAATGAGGCATGCATAGGACATCAAACTCCATAGTACCGATTTAAAACAGTTAAGGGTATACCTTATAGTGGACTAAGTGCCGCCTCTGTGTACTGTCATTATTGTGATTAAGGTAGAGAGGTTTAGTTAATCATTAAATTAAATTAAAATTAACGCAGGGATCCCATGTGCAAGCTTATCGAGAAACAGAGAGGTGTGGCTGAAATGAATTGGAAATTGTTAGGTGCCACGTCACGGCTCAGCTTTTACGGCAACACCATCACACGTAGATGGTCAGAGGGGAAAAATGTCGAGGGTTCTGTTGAATTCGCCCAATAAGAGAGGTACTTTGACACAGCTAACAAACAAGCCAGTAGCAAGTTTACTGCTAAAGCACACAGAGCAGACAGTCGAGGTGCAATCGTCGTCGCGACAACCACAGGAAAGGAGGTGCAAGAGTGGAGCCTCCGTACATCGACGGGGAACTTTGGCACAATTAACGCACATCGTAAAAACCGAGCACCATGTACAAACATTGGTCACACGCCATCACCTTGGCAGCATACACTAGGCTGAGGGCGCGGAATAAAAACAAACAATTGTGTTAACCTTCACACTAATCAAATTTCCTAGGAGCCTTCTACGATTAAAAAAATCGCAATTAAAAGATGGTCTGAGTGGCTATTTTAACAGTGTAGGAGCTAGAGCAAGGAATGTGCACCCCTTTACTAGGCTTCTAGGTGAAAAAATAAATCGTGAGAAAATGTTGCAGGTTCTTGGGCTTGCATAGATCCTAATTTTTGAATAGATTGTTCTACACGGCTATTAGTTCTAAAGTGTTTTCATAATGACTTTGGTCCGTGTACTAGAAAATAGCTTTCCTTGATTGCGTTTCAGTGCCTCTCATTTAACACAGGACGGTAGAAGCTACTTTTGGAATTGACCAATTTGCCAGTTTATTTCACTAAATATTAACGCAAGTGAAAACCGACTATGGTAAATGGTAAGCCTGAGTGTTGCACCCCAAAACAAACCAATCGCAAGGTGCATTTGAAAGGACGATCGCCTGGAGCAAAAATCACTGTCAAAATGTCGAAAGAATGGGGAAAAAATTACTCAACTAATTTGACATAGGAATATTGGTTATGTGACAACGTCCTAATTTACCTTACCTTGTTAAGAAGACGTCAAGGCGGTTGGTCAAAAAAAGGTCGACATCAGAACTCGAACGGAGATGGTACCGCAGACAGCGCAAAGACGCACACCGAAGCGCTCTTTGGCGGCTCCAAAGGGCAAGAGAAAGACTGAAAAAAGCGAGGAATGAAGAATGGAATATGCGGCGGCACATTTACTGCCATGTAGAATTTGCTCGCAATTACACCCGAGTTGAAAACTGAGAATTTCAAGGCGTGACGAACAGGGTCCAATGCTTGCACAGGAAGTCCGGTTTTTCCCACATTTCTGCACTGCCTTTCGATTTCAGTTAATCAACTAATCACCAATTTGACGTTTGGTGAAAAGGAATCGAATCGAATGAAACCGAGAAGTTTCCCACCACGACCAACGGTAGCATCTAATACCCTTAACCCGACCAAGTCAACAAATACGGTATGAACCGAACGAGCTGCTTCAAAAAAATCGCATTACCTTCGGTTGGAAGAAATCATATTATTGCCACGTTAGACACCCTTTCTGACAAAATGCGGTGAGAACACAATGTCTTACAATGCAAAAAAACCCATCACAAATTTTAGACTTCATTATGATAACACGAGGTGATGAGGGTGCAACATGGTGTACAGGCAGATCAGCATAAACTTGAAATTAATACGTCACAGTGTGCACACTGCTGATATTGAATTACGCGAGATAAGTTTTGCTAGGTTATAAAGTAAACGATAGAACTCGACTTTGGTCGACAATAATAGTAAGCACTGACGTTCGAATTACTCCCAGCATTCACGTACATCGCAACGTTAGTTAGTGGCACCTGTGAACATTTGGCGTTAAAAAATTCCAGTGGGTGAGGCAGTAGGAATCACTAACTCGTTCATGACTTCGAGGAAATTCACAGTACTGACATGGCCTTCACCACAAAACTAGCCGCCGCACAAATACCTGGATGGCTGAGAACGCTAATTCGGTCAGCTTGGTATCACGAAAACCGAACCCTGGAGACATTGAAGGTTTGACAGATAATAAAGCACTAGGAAAGTTCGCGCCACAACAGGTGTTATAAACATAACGAAAATGTAAAAACATTAAGACGGAGTTGTCCATAGCCTCGAAGCACAGCACATTTAAATCACCCAAATTGCTACAGGAATGTAGACGATTGGAGACATTAGAGAACTGGTAGAGTAAAGCGGAAGAATATGTAAATTGCTAGATGGACGCTTCCATTTTAGCAGATCCATTTAGAGTCCACAGAAAAACCTGACGAGATAATTACGCGTATGTTTTATGCATTTTTTTTTTATATTATAAAACATTCTACAACAATTTAACCTAATTTATCACTTAATTCGATAATCCCGATATTATTTCGAGGAATGGCTTTCAAAACAAGCCGAATACATGTGTGTGAATCGTGATTATTCAAACCCTTAATCCGATCGCTCGGCCTCCGACACATGGTTCTCCTTTTTCGCAGCATGGCGCCAGCCGCGTGAATCCTTAGTTCCCCCTCATTCACACGAATATTTATCTTGGATTATCCTCACGCCTAGGTCTCGATGTTAGCGCAGTTATGACTCACACATCCGACACCAGTTTTGGTTGAGCTCTGAAGTAAACGATTACGTCCCGTCCTCTCCTACCTTTTTCTTCATCGCGGGCATCAGGCAAGCGTAATCGGGCCAGGGTTAATTCTGTGGCCCCGGCGTGGTTCAAGACCACATGCTGGGGCCTACAACACATGCATTCAACGAAAGATTCTAGCTCAAAGCATTATTTCTGCTGCAGTTCGTAAAAGACGTTTAGCACAGGGACTTACACCCGATAGACGGCAAGTAGCAAAGACTGCCGCAGGTGGGCTGCATAGCGGAGACGAAGGTACACTTTGGAGCTAAGGATCACGAGTACATTCAAACGGTCTGTTAACTTCTCGTAGATGTGGTTAAGTTGCTCAAGTCCCTTGACATTAGAAGCACCGTAGACTTGAGAAAAATCAGACCAGCATTGAAACAGCAAATGAGTTATCAACGGTAGTGGATCTGCAAAGCAATACAATAACACTTGAACTAAGAAGAACACTTGTGCTATTTAATGTAGCCATTGACAATGAGGTCCTGTTTGTGTGAACTACAAGGGGAGATCATTTAACCCAGGTGCCTGGGTTCGTAAACATTTCCCTATATTAAAATCAACACGCAGACTGAAGGTGAGCCACACTTGAGAAGGCTGATATGTACGGTCGCCGGTTATTTAGACATACACCACATAAACAAGAGGGCTTAGTACCTTCGAGCAATGTCAAACAATTTTCGCATAACGTTAACAACACTTGAAGCAGTGCAGAGTCGATATTTAAGTGCATGAAATTGAGAAGTTGGGTGGAAATTGTTGGGAGACAGCAGAAACTAAAACTCGTAATATTGCATATGTAGTAAGTACCCGCAACAAAATATTTTTTTAATTGCCCTAGAACTGTAGATTTTCCAGGAATAGACATCAAAATAACATCAATAAAGTGGGTATTTTGCGCTTTCAGAAATGGTTGAATAAAAAACAGTGGTAATTGTATTCAAATACGGAAACAACAAGACACCACTGTTGGCACCCGAATGGTTCCAGTGGATTTAAACATAAATTATGGAAACGACAAAAAATTGATTACCTTCGTTTATATCGACGCCCAAACGCTCGACGCTCAATGATGGGTATACTAAAAGAAAATTATTGTACCAAAAAACAGTTGAGTACAGATGTTAATGTAGAAACATAATGCTACGTCAATATTAATAAAGTCTATGAGCCCGATCTAACTAGAATTGTAACAAGAGGATCGTTGCGAAAAAAGAAAAAGAAACAGAACCACACACCCAAAAGTATCCCACATATAAGCATACACAAATAACTCAGATGAGGCCATAAATGTGCTTTTTGCAATTGATAAAGTTCACGAATATGCTGTAAAGAAGACAGCAGAGGTAGGAACAAAAAGACATAACAAGAAAGTGGATTCATCAGGGCTTATGTATTCAGATCGAAAGTTTACCAAATATGGTGACATGATTTGAAGAGCCACCTTTACAACTAGATTCCAATAACGTGAGGGAAACGCTAAGTATGGCAACATGTACATACTTATAATACGTGAAAGCTAATGAAATGAACAAGAAATAAAGCATAAAAGTACACCACCATACGTAAGGATTTCAGACAACGATACGAGCAGTACAAAAGGCAATTCAAGTCGGCTTAAGTGCCTACTACAACAGTTAAAGCCAATTAACAGAAAACTGTTACAACAACTAATAACAACAAAAGTTACTTCTGAACAAAGCCAATACCTCCTTTACTGCACATTCATCCTATTCCCACAGAGAAATCGCCAAGAGGGAACTGACCAATCAGAATTTAGAAGGCCTGGATTAATATGTTGCGATCGTCTAACAGGAGAATTCAAACAAACAGGATGCTCGTTTTGGATCTTGAAATGGCTCTGCTGGATAAAGAATGCTTTCCTTGTGTTAAATTATCATTTGGAAAAGTTCTAAAAACTTTATATTGACCGATTAATTTGCCTTCACCTAAAAACCAAATGCCATTTTAAGGTATTTATAAATCCCGAGTTAAAATATAATGTTGTCACATAGCACAATTGAAAGTGGTGTCTCGTTGGGACTTAGTTTTCATGTGGATGTGATATTGATGGCATCGCAGAAGTAAAACCTGTACAGAATTTGGAATATTACTTGAATTTCCCCATTTTTACATTGGATTCGAGAAATTAATTGTTAAATTATTAAAACTGCTTTTGCTGAACTAGACATAAATTAACCTGGCACACTGGTTGGATATTTAATGACAAATTCGTGTCAAATCGAATTCGCACTTCAAGTGGGCATCGTGTCTCACAATATTGCAGCAACATTATCAGATCTTATTCGTGTTCCAAAATAACCCCGGCCAATATCTCCTGTTTTAAAAACATCGAGGGTTTTGGGTTGCAATATCGGTCCTGGAGCTCCATCTGTTACGTAAATGTTTATCAAGAACCCGTCTTTATATTATAATTTTCTACATATGGCGTTTTCGTTAGCGTCATATAATTTTGACATAACTTGTACATGCCTACCATCAAATACTGATGGCAACTTTTAATATCATCGTCTTTGATTAAATGTGCTCTAGAAGTCGAGTGTCGAATTTGGGCTGCACACTGCAAAGAAAAGAACCGTTGTTTCTCATCGTCTAATTATATTTTAAAAATTCTTCATGGAGCATAATTTTAAATGTCTTATGAGTCGATGTAAACTTCGTAAGTGCGATGTTTACGTTAGGAGAAGGGGGTTATTTTTTGCTATTATGATGTTGCCATCTCAAGGGGTTCAGGTGAATGTGCTAGGAACATAAAAAGGAGCTTAGAGTAATTGGTCAGTATTCGAGAAATAAATTGCGTTACAAATGGTTGATGCTATTCTGTCTGTCAAGCGATTTTCTTTACTCTAAGTAGTGTAACAACTAAGGAAATGAACATGTCTGCTAGAGCGTGTAGCATTGACTGTCTCTTTCTTGACTAAAGACGTAGAAGTTGGCTGCAGCTAAGGCTTTTTTCCGGCGGCTTCTCCGTGTCGAGGGAATCTTGCTTAAGGCGGTCCACAGATTTGTCGTCTCTCTTCTGCTGTGTTCCACCATGAAAACATTTTTCCATGTTCTGAGCACTCTGTAAAGTCCATCGTAGATAGATGAAGCAGACGATAAATGACGAAAATGTGGATGCACTGGGTTTAAAAGAAGCGGTGTAGGTTGAACGCTATTTAGTAAAAGTACATTTTGTTTATTGTCTTTCATATTAGTTTAACGTACTTTCGTGAGTTACGCCGTGACGGTTGGGATGTTGAGGAGGAAAAGTTTGTTCCGAAAACTATTTCTGCGAAGGATCAGCCCAATTTGTTCTTTTGCACTAGGGGTAAGGCTGCCCTCTGGCGAGATTGGTCTCTGTGATCCATTATAGCGGCTTCAATTTGTCAATGCAAACGTCCCACCACGACATTTAATTGAGGGTGGTAGGCGGTCTTTCAAATGTGTTTTGTTATCACGAGCCGTGTGGCATTTTGAAACAGGCTTGATTCGTATTAAGTTCTTCAGTCTGTTGTGAAAGTGAAGGGGACTCCAAATAAGAGAACATACTTGTCAACGAATGCTTTGGCGACGGTTATGGCGGGGCTGTCTTGCATTAGAAAAGCGTCATGCCATCGGGCAAAACGGTTAACTCAGGTCAAAAAGTAGCGAAAATCTCTCGAGTAAGGCAAGAGTCCCATAATATCGACATGTACCTGATCAAACCCTGCGTGAGGAATGATAAATTGAACAAGGGGATCATGCTAAAACTGTCTACCTTTGATGCTTAGCAGCTTCCGCATTTTCGATTCCAGTGCTTGATACCTCGATTCACAACAAACCACATATAACGATTTGAACACAGCTTCCTTGCTGCCCATTTACCAGAGTAAGCGAGAACGTGAAGGCAACCCATCGATACGGATACAACTGGTCACTGCACATTATTCAAAATGTCGAAGGCAATTTTACATGCGAATTAATGCAGAAGAGCCTCATTCAGCTTTAAAGCAGTCTTGTCTTCGGAGCTTTTGCAATTCTTGATCGGATTGTTGATCAACCAGCATATTCACGAAATCCATTTGTGACTACAGCATTGTCCGTACCCTTGGCATGTTAAAAACTGTAGGATGTAATACAAGTGTCGTGAAATCCTTGGTGTCAATCGATCGGAAACACAACTGATGGCACAGGTCAGCGGCTTGTGGTTGGTGTAAGTCGTGAATTGTCAACCTTCAAGGAGATGTCTGAAGCATTTGGCAGTAAGAGTGATAGCCATTCATTTGCGACCAGAGATGGCGCAACGCTCTTGAATTTCGTTAAATTTGGCTTAGAAAAAGCTCCGTTGACAGTTTGGTGTAAGACTGCACCAGTTGCCGAAAGAGACGCACCGATTACGTGGGACAGATGAGTATCTTACCGCAGGTGGCTCTCTTCGCCACAGCCGCCTTGGGGGCTGTGAAATCTTTACATGCCTTGTTCGTAGAGTAACCTCTGAGCAAATTGGTCAGGTTCGTAAGAGTCTATGTTCCGTTGACGACCGTGGAAATTAGTCGTCAAACTTGACTGATGGTCTTTGGTTCCCTAAATTTGCAAATCCCTTTAGCTTAAATCTGATAAGCCTTAGACCTGCAGCAGAGACGATGTGTCCCAGAAATTCAAGTTCTGGAACTCCGAAAACACGATTTGTCAGACTAACAAGTAAGCCATGCTTAGTGAGGCGTTTAAAGACAATGTTGTTTCACATGTTCTTCCTGTTTCTCACTAGGAATAAGGACATCGTCGATGTACGAAAATACAAGTTCCAGTCCAGGTAACACATGAAAGATGGAACGCCGAAAGGTTTGTACTGCATTTGGTAAACCGTAGGACATTCGCACAAATTCGAATAATCCGATATGCGTCGCAATATCTGTCTTGGGAATGTTAGATGGTTTAAATAGAATCTGATAAGAGGCACAAATTAAACACAGATTTGCCGTGGCGGTTTGACAAGAAATCGTGTAGATATGGTATGGTGATGAGGAATTCTGCTGGCGTTCACAGCACGATAATCACCATCGACTTTCCTCGGAACTATGTGCAACGCTGATTACCGATCGCTGCCTGATCGTCAGAAAATCCCAAGCTGCAAAATGTTATCAAACTCCCGTTTAGCGGTCGAGCGCTCACAGGGCAAGCATGTCATGATGTTGTGCGTGATTGAGTGCCGAATTTCTGTTTGACTGTGAGTTGGGTTGATAATGCCTGAAAGTTTCTTCAGTAAGGCTGAGTAAGTTTCATTATCCATTTATAATGGTTTAATCTAGGGAAGGGCCGACGTCTGCAAGGGACATCAGACGATTAGACTTGCTAGGGGATCAATTACACGCATGTCCTTGAGGTCGACGAGTTAATCAAAGTGGTTAAGAAAGTCACGGCACATGATTGGGCGAGTCAGAGCTCGCTAGTGAGGACTCAACAAAACTGGCATCGTAAACCCAGATCGAGGGTAAAGAATTTCAGTTCGTAGATCGAGATAGAAGGACGTTTATCTAACAGATGTGTGAGCTCCTGAGTCGATCAAGAATCGCATTTCAGTTGACACATCGAACAGAAATAGAAGGCGATTGAAATGCCTTTTGGTGGAAGTTGTCTCCACTGTCGATTTCCAGTGGCTCAAAATTAATCGATAAGTTCGTGCCAAAATGCAAAGCCATTTGTCACCACAGCTAATCAAGGCTTGGTAAGGCAGCCTCACTAACACAACGACGACATGCTGTTGCAATAATAAAGTGTATCTTCGGATTTCGTAGGCGTGGTAGTTTACTATACGGTCCCAAGCAAAATTTGTAAATACCTCACACTGGTGTGGTACAAGACACAAACAATCCTAGTGAAAATCACTAATCAGCAACCACACCTTCTCAGATGGTGTCAACCATGAAATAAATCACAGGACAGTGCACCGGGACCAGGCTGAGCGAGATTACAGCGAACAGGCTAGATGCACATGAGGTGTGAAGGCCAAAAAGCCATGTAATGATACGTCGTCAAGATGCATTAATTTATGACAAGACACGAGGCTGACCACGTAACACAAAATGTGGACTTTTCAGTTCTGGTTCCCTGACATTAGCTCAACCTGGTACTAGTGAATTAAACCAAAACGTTCACATTTGTGGATGTCAAACACTTCCATCACTTGAATGAGGGAAACGAGCACGCACCACGTTACCCCATTTAAGATAGTTACATAAAATTCAGACAGTTTCTCAGAGAGACTTGATTCTTTTCCACGGCACAGGAGGCATCTACAGCTCAGAGACATTCGAAATGAAGCATGACCGAAAACCTCAACCTCAAGTTAATTTATCAGAAACCCATCGGAGATTGTTTGCTCTTGTGGCCAATACTAATTGACGTGAAACTTTGATTTAGAATCAACAGAAGGCTATTCCCAATGTTCACAGGTGTTGGAAGATTTGATGTGTCCGTGGACCCGTGTATGAAGAAACCGCTAGGTCCACCTTGCCAGCGGTCTTCCAGAAGCACGAAGACACGGAATCAGACTGTCGCATCAAAATAATTGACGGGACCTCGAACATCAATGATCTCTGATATTGGCTGAAGTGAGGGACCGACCACAAGCATTTTTATTATAATGAAAATGAGGCTTGACGCTCACAAGGGTTCTACTGGAACTCAGATTAATTGGAAAGCGCAGATTTTTCTAAATATCGAAATGTCCTCAGAGAAACTGAAAAGCACCTCAAATTCATGTCTTTTAATGCAACAAAGAATTTACTTACAACATGCGAGTTAACCCTTTACAGGTAAAAGAAACAGATTTGCCAATACAATTGCTGTATTTGCAGTTATAATTCATCTCTACAAATTCACGTCATAAAAGTGCGACGAGGTTTGACGCGGGGAACCTGTGCAGTCAGCAAACTATACAAAAAGCGATTCCGCGCCAAAACCACAAGCATTTGACAACAAGACTGAAAATTTTCACCGAGGTTACGTATATACAACAGTCTTGGAATCAAAAAATGGCAATAGTAGTAGTCGTAGGCCACCATCAGCAGAACTAAAGGAAAACAAGAAAAATCAAAAAACAAAGCCGATAGATTGCAATCTTGGTTAAGATTTAAATGCAGTCAGTGGTTGAGGATCTAGATGAACCACTGCCTGTAATATTAAAGGTCATCAAGTGGTGATTATAGGAAATGAAAGAGGTTAAACACGGTTGTTTAGCGGGCAATAATCTTGAGTTTGAATACGCATTCTGACTTACCTTCCACCGGTGACCACAATTATTGCAGTAAGCAAATGTAGTCATTGGTTCATCAGCGCTCCTGGTTTGAACCTAAGTACAGAAAGTGGAACAGATGAGAAAAATTTGTACAACACACAGCTCTGGCACATCCGAGTGACAGCGATGACTGCAATGGACATTCTGCGTTCACGCAAAAACAGTGTCCCACCTTAACCCTCGACTTGAAGAGGACTCGGTCAGTGAAAATCCCAAGACAGCACAGATTGACACCAAAGACAGAACCAACCTGGTTGTATGTGACTTTGTTCATTTTGCACTTCCCACACTTGAGAATATCAGACTCTGTTCCGGTAGTTACGGCCATCTGGTGGTCATCGATGGTTTCCTTATTGTACTTATCACGCAATTCCTTCATGTCCTTGCTGGCCATTTCCTACAAGACAAGATAACTCCTACAATTAACGTCAAATAAATTACTTCTAAAAAGAATTTTTTATGAATCATTACAAGCCACCAATAGCTACGTGGGGCAATACTGAAGCCTTAAACTCCTGACGAAATACATCGAACGATTTTAAATCAATGCTGGGGAGAACAAACTAGCATCGTATTCACATGCTCACCTCGGAGGTCATACTAGCAAGGCGTTCGGGTCGAACATGTCCCATGAAGACATTCAATCGGAGGTTTGGATTATTGGAATCGCGTAAATTCATGACCCGTGTTCTAACGCGATGCTTGTACTTCGGGTCAGTTGTTTTAAAAAGACCGAAAATTGAATTCTCGATCTGAGTAGCCAAGTATTCTGCTTCAAAGGCACCTGGTGGAGGGGCTAGAATTTGGAAGGAAAACACGGGGGAAGGGAACGGAGTGCGCATGGCTTTTTTCTCAATTATGACCACGTGTTTAGCGTTGTCTGACGTCCACTATAGTAAAATCTGAACCAACAATTCTGAGGAAAACAGGACCATACAAAAATACCCATCACACTAGTAGGTTCATTTCAGGCAATAGGCAGAATCCATTAAACATCATTACTTAAGTTCCTTTGTCCCGCAAATAGTAACAATAAATAAAGAGCATTGGAGCTTGGAGGAACAATTACGATTCCTTTTAATTTGTATGGGATGTAAACAGTAATTTCATACCCACATTACCGTTGTCGATGAAACATATGTAACCAATTAATGTCATATTCAAGGAAATCGTGATAGATAAAACAGACAAGAGGCGAAGAATTACTAACTCAGAAACGTGTGCTACAGTGTACCCCAAATTACTGACAACGCAAAAAGCAGTGGTGTTTAATGTGCCAAAAGCCAATACACCAGCAGTTACAAATGTAAGCACTTTTTTGTCAGCAACTACCTTCCTAGGGAAGTGGCAAACGTTAAAACTACAACCATTGAGAGTAAATTCCCACCGGTGCGCAATGATTCGAAGTATTATTACACCCAGCTTTCGCTTGGAATTGTCTGTTGGTAATAAAATGATAGCAGCAATAATAAATACGCCTAAGCATGAAATGTGAACCAATCGCAGATAGACTTACGGGTTGATTCCAGAGCATTCTTAATCATTTCTCGAGCCTTTAAGCGTACAGGATCGTCAGTGTCGAGACTTTTAGACATAAAGAAGGGGCGGCCGCTTGATTCACGAGCAGCAGCAACGGGGGCGTGGTTACTGCCGGTATCAGAATCATGGCGATAATCCTCATCGTCTGCTGACCTTCGAACTCTCTTCGCATCCGATGTTGCGTGCTGGGAAGAGTCATCGCCAGAAACTGGCGGCGATCGCTTACTACCGACTTCAGACGCTTTGTCTAGAATGTAAAATAAGTTGGACTGTGAAGGATGTAAAAATATTGCCGAAACCATCTACAATGCTTACCAAGCAATCAAAAGACAAAACACCCGGCCATGAAGCCAACACTTTTTTACTGTAGACTAAGCTGAACTACTAGAAGTGCGAAACACCGTGAAACCAATTTTTACATCTTAAATATGATCTCCGCATCCCTCTGTAAACCCCCTAAAAGTAGATCTGAGGTCTAAGTTATACCCCTTCAAATCCTACTACAACTTCAGATAATTGGCAACGAATGCGAACTACCAACTACCGAATCACTCATTTGAGTCGCACAAAAGCAACCACCAGAGGAGAAAAAACTAAGATATGTTTTACCGCATTCCATCTACGTAAATAGTTTTTTGCTTTGCGGATCTAGAACTGAGTGATATCAAGTGCCCTTAAGGCTTTCTTATATAATTGTTTCCTTTGTTTTAAGACAAAGTTAACGAAAGAGCCGATAAGTACACTGATCAGTTTGAGCAACTAAGATTGTGAAAACTTTAGAACTATTTAAATGCTAACTATTCTTGAGGAGCCTGACACTATTCGAGTATGGACACGTTTACATCACACTGCGGAGACAGTCTAAAATTTCCTTAAGTGACGATCCAATGCAGTTGTCCATGTGTTTAGAGGCTTCTGGGCGAATCACTAAGGTTAGAAATAGACAACTAAAGCCTTACCTGGGACAAGCTTTTTCCACTGTTTTATCAGTTGTTTTCCAAGGGTTGTGATTTCTGCGTTGCTTGCTTGTTTTCTTATCTTATTGATGACAATACCTATGCCGGTTTTCGTTAAAATATCTAGAGTCATTTCGGTGTCCCTTAGGCGATGTAGGTAGGATAAGGTCGTATCTTCATCCTTAAAGCAAAATAATTTTAGGGGGCATACTACTTACAATAGAATCACGTTTTATCATCTTATCAAGCTTTCGGACAATTTTGGCGGTTACCTCCATCGCAAATCTTTGAGTAGACCGCGTACGAGGATCCACACAATCGACAAGGGGCAAACACCCGAAATTATTTAAAACAAGTTCCATTAGCTTAATAAAACAAATAGAAATTTCAGTCTTGATGATGAATCTTCGAAAAAATCCCTTAGTTAATTGTGCAATATATATATAAGTAATTTTTATTTTTTTCGTATTTACTCATTTAAACTTTTTTACCCGAGTCATTAAAACCCATGAATTCTAAGCGCGTAAAAGGCAACGTATCATTAAGCTAACTAAGTAAAACCTGCTATTTGAGTCAAGACTCCATAACAGTAATAAAATGAATTTTCAAAGAAATGTTCACTCTATTTTTTGGCGTCTGCATTGCTCTCACTGATGCATTTAATAAAGTTCTTTATCTTTTCACCTTATCGCACTTATTGACACTCAGGTTTTTCTACATTTCAGTCTCGACTAAGTGTCTATAAGTTTGCAATCTCTTCTAGATGCATACAACTCTTGGAATGCTCGTGCGAAATAAATGCATTTAAGTTCACGTTATTTAAGTGGTCTACTGACTCCTTTATTTCTGTTCTTCTTGTACGTCCTGGCCAATACAATATAGACTCCATGGTGCTGTTTAAGCATCATACCAGCCTTTAAATCGCACTACTATAGGATGCGATAAGTTTTCGTGGTCAAGAGCCTGCTGCTAATATACAGCGCTACAGAATTTGAACTTAAGCCAGACTTACACACACACAAGCCGTATACATCAATTGTAGTGCGCACAACTTGACATTTTTTTGATTTCCACGACCTCATGTAACTTCATTTTTAAATTCGAACCCAATCATCATAATTGCACATATTATTTGTATGCTTACATGAAAACAATATACATTTGATTTAAATTTACCCTATTTAAAATGATACATACATTTTTCCTAAGTTGTATAACTGGGTGCTGGCCCCGTAATATTGATTTTCCTGTTTCAGTGCTCTAACCAATGACCAAACGTTCTATATGACATGCGTGGTAGTAAATGTACATATTTACTACAGACGATGTGATCATTTAGGAGGCCTTTTAACCAATTGTTGATAGTTTTGAACAAAATTTCTTAGAATTAAATACAGGAAATCTCTTGCAGGTTTGCAAATCTTAACAGCGAGTTTTTTTATTGTATAAGTAAGATACATGAAGATTCGTGTAAAATGATGTGTTTGTCCAATTCCAATAGTGTTACATTAAGACTAAAATTGATTAAAATCTGCAAGATGTTAAACTGGCTGAAAATCACTTAGTCACATTGGAATTACTATGTCTATTTTCTTAAACTTTTAGGATCTTTTGAATTAGGTCTGAAAACAAAATTAATGACTTTGTTCGCGCCTACTTATCAATACATGTCATTGCGAACCACTCCCGAAGTTTAGTCAATCTTATGTGTATCAGTATTTTAATTTCCTCGTAAAAAGGCTAGTAGCGATGGGTGTAAAGCACAGGTATGATAGAAGGCTTAGCCAGATAGCAAACCCGGTACGGACGGTGGTTAAAAGACGTCATTTGCCTGTGATATGTCAAAAAATCACCTTTGTCATATGTGCCTTCTTTGTACTGATGTTGCAGCAGCTTATTTTTTGTTCGTGTATACATATCCTGTATTGTACCTATATGCCAACCATACACTAGCTCATCGGCTAATACATTGCTTGTGTGTTCCTAACTTTGCTTGCTGTCATTTTGGCTTTAGACAAATAAAATTGAGTTGTAACACTAAGTGGAATGTGAAGGTTTAAGTTAATCTTAATTTGACATAACTTTGGTAGTTGAGCCAACCAGTTATAATTGCTTAAAATCCCCAACCCTCTCCACTAGCCTAGACTCGATAGAATGTATGCTTGAATAGGCAACAATCTAAAGTAAGTTGCATGATAACTGAATGACCGGTATTTGGCATTTTGTTTGGCATTTTTTACATGTTTTTTTAAAATTAAAATATAAAGTAGATGCATAAACATTAGGTTCACTGAAATCAGCCGAATGAATTATCCCCTCTTACTAGAATTTCGGCTAAACAATCCAAACTCAATAAAAGCTTTGTTTTAATGTCGCATCTTTCGTTGTACTATGCAATCACATGAACTGCCCACTGTACAGATATCGAGATTCTAAAATGGCGACCCTTACAATTTGTTTTGTAACGCGCCTACCGAACGGGGACCTAAATAGGGGGATGACCGTTAGCCCGTCCCTCCTAGATAGCCACACCATCATGGGCGGGAAGGGGAGGAGGACAAAGAACAGGCCAGACCGGTGTGCGTGGGTCGAATGGCGCGCGTCACAGTTTTTGGATTTGAACAATGCGGCATCAAGTTCAGTGCAGATAGGATTTATCACTAAATAAATTATGCTGGGTAATTTTTTTCGTAAAAAATACACTAGACAGTATATTAAATTCATTTTTTTTCCAGAATGGATCCAGCTGTTGTTTACTATGCCAAATGATAGCTAAAAAAACTCAGGTTATTCTAAATGCTATGATATGAACGGTTAATAAAATCAAAGATCCCTATGTCCTTCTAACCAACCTTGCCGGCCTCACAAATTAAATGCCAACTATGAAAATTGAGAAATATTAGGGGATGGGTTTTGAATCTTCGGTAGTAAGTTTAAGAAGAGATAGAATTGAATAACTCATTGATTTCTTCATTTATATTTTCAAATTGTGGTAAGTTTTTTTAGTTTAATAAACCAGTTTTGAGGAATATTTATTTCACCGGAATTCATACACACGTTTTCTCAATGGGCTTGATCACCGTCCTATCTAATTCTGACCGTAGACTTCATAGAATAAAGCAAGCTAATTTTTGAATGACCTAAAGTGTGATCATTGTTCAGGGACGACAGTTTACACTGAAGTATTTTAAACTATTGATAATTGAAGTCTATTCCTCCATTAAATTGTAGTTTGATCAACTTTGCAAGTTATCTGCGTTCAAGTCATATCCATGTCTCTCAATTGTCTATGTAACCGCGTCCTGAGAAGGAAATTAACGTCGTTCTGCTTCCTAATGGTAATGAAAATTTTCTTGTAAAAATAACATATTCCAGCAGTTATCCTGGTGAAAAATCAAATGAAACTAATCTTGGCGAATCGAAAATTGCTAAATTTGTTTAACACTTTTTAGCTTATACATAGCAGATTATGAAATTACTTTACTCAATCTATTGACTTTAGTTTTTCATAAAAGTGTGCTTATATTTATCACTGAATTTTGAATTACATTGTCGTGTGGTTTATATTGGCAAAATTGAGCACAAATTTCAGGAAACAGTACTCACGTAACCGTAGAATCCCCCATAACTACAGAAAAACGAACAATTGAACTTGACCAGCTGGCCACTATAGCCGCCATAGGAAAATTGAACTACTAACCACCAGCATGACGTCTATAAAGGAGACGTTTTCAATATCAGTTAAAAAATTACCACTGGAAATAATCCTTATTCTGCAAACGCGCCCCTTTAACTCACCAGTTAGGTCTTTAGCAACCCATGGTTTAAACTATCATTAGCAAAAACTATGATCTTGACATGTGGGGATTTCGAAGGAGAAGATAGTTATTATGCTGTAACTCAGGTCCATTGTTCGTTTTTAGGAGCATTCGGTTATGAAGAGATACGGCAGATCAGTCGAAATGGATCACTGTGATGCGCACCATTTGGTCAACGCACGCCAGCCTCACCCGCCTTCCTGTGCCTGAGGGTCAATCCTGGGCCCCCTTCGGCTGCCTACTTCCTATATTCGCGCTATCACTTATTTCTGCTCAATACAAGTCTAAGTACCCAAGAGAAGAATTTGACCCGTTTACTGGATAGCTCCACCAACCTGTGCTTGAACTAAACACCACTTGTTAGTATAATGGGCTTCAAGACTCTCCACACAACAATGGCGCGTGATTGAAAAGTAATTTAAAACGTCTGGCTTTCATCATCATCGCAATGCAGCAGAGAGAAGAGGTCGGCAATAGCGATATTGAGATGTCGGATTGCTTGAGGAGTGTTACGGGCCAAGGCATGTGGTTAAAGCTAGTCCAAATACGCTACCCTGATACTCGCGAAGATGTACAATCCCGGAAGTGCCAGGACACCACCTTTTACCAGATGGCATTAAAGTGAGTGGATGACTGATACAGTCGGGGAGACGAGTCGCAGTAAAAGTACGAACGTCTGAATGGCCAGATGGAGAAAACAAGCAAGAGTGGTTCATGCACAGGGGTGAATGAGCAGATGGCCCCACGTGACTGAAAGGAACGCCGTGAAAAGGGTGAGGCTGCGACGACCCATCACAGACCGACTACTTTGTGAAATACATCAGGTTCCTGCTATTGGTCTTCTGGTGCATGTCTGGTAGTCAACTGCAACGGTGTAGCTATCCTTGAAGAACAGACTTAAGGTAACGTCCCTGTGCGGTTTTGGAAATCACACTGAGACGGCCCGACCGAAACCAGAGTGGAAATGCAGGTAACGCGTAGCTCAACTGATTTATTATGAGAGCAATGGTGTGTTGTACAAGGTAACAAGTACGTTTATGTAGCCCTGCTAAGCATTGATCCCTGAACGAACACAGTTACGTAAAGTGCATTCACGTAAACCAATTGAATCATATTCGCTCAGGTATGTTAATTGCGTTCGCCCACGGTTGTGTTCGCTTGCTGCTCGGTAGGCGCTTTACATTACATTCAACACCCAGAACGTTCTTCATTTACTTCCCTTGAACTTAATAATAATTGGACTAGTGTCTGTAGATGTTCTAATCAGGAATGTGATAAAGCGACTTCAATGGAGTCCAATTATGTGATACTTGTTTGGACTTGTTTAGGGCCCTGGCATGTTGACTCAACCACGCCTGGGCCACTGCGTTAAATTTAGTCATATTATGCTACCTTGGTACCTGTGAAGATGGAGACCCGAGAGGGTGGGGCACAACCGCTTACCAAGCAGCTCAGCAAAA